ATTCCTCTGTGTTCTCAGTATTTTTCCCCCCTCTTCAATATTCTTCCTCTGTTGCTTAATATTGTTCCCCATTTCTTCAGGTATTCCATTAAATTCTTAGTCTTCCTTTCAATTCCTTAGTATTCCTTCAAGTTCCTTCATATCTTTTTTCCCAGTTTCTTGATATTTCTCCCTGTTCCTTAGTATTCCTTCCCATTCCTTAGTTTTTCCCCCTGCCCCCCCCCCATATTTACTACTCCTTCCCATTCTTTAGTATTCCTTTGCATTCCTTAATTTTTTTTTTCCCATTCCTTGGTATTTTTTAATATTTTAATAGCAGTAATGCTATAGGGATAGAGGTGTTATTATTTTGTCTTTTATATTTGTAACATATAAGTGTTTTACATCTACATGTAAATCCTTAAATTAAGGTACTATGGCTGCAGATGATGCTGCAGAACACAATTAAAGGCAGTAGTGTAATACAACAGAAATATAACACTATAACACCTATAAGGGACAATATAACAATGCTGGGTCTTATACATACATAGATATAAAACCTTAAATTAAGGTGATAACTATATATGATGCTATATAACACAGCATAGCAGAATCTATTATTGCAGCACAGACACTTACACTGGCAGAGTAAAACCTTCCATATAACTTACCTATCACACTGCTGTGGGCTCTAACAGATGCTGCAGAGAGTAGAAGGGATATTTACCACGATGCTTTACAGAACAGAAGGTGATCTTCACCTGCAGAGGTACCACTGTGATATATCACAGATTAATAACAAGCATCCTGCCATACATGACACACACATCCTATAGTGTGTTACAGCTGAACAGAGATGGCATGCAGCTTACAGAACATATTTTAAAACATGTACAATTAAAAGCAATACTGTTATATTGTCTCTTGCAGGTCTAGTATATAACACACATATAAAAATGCAGTGTCATAAATACAAAATTCAAAATACATAAATACGAAGTACAGTAAATACAAACGTGTGCCCTGTGTTCTGTAAGAGATGTCATGGATGTACAGGGAATATTTACAGAAAGTACATTACTGTACAGAACACATATATGCCCCGTCAATACTTGTTTGCATCACACTAATAAAATAACATCATATAATACATTGCATATACATAGTATACTGGATTATAGATAGCTGAAAACATAATAACACATAAAAAAGAACACTGTGATAGTGTTAAGGTCTTTTATTACACTGTACACTTAGCAGTACAATTATTACTACTTTTACATCATAATGCATTCTTACCCTTAGAATTAATACATTAGCACACTAAGCAGTACATTATTGTTCCTTTTCCATTACAATGCATTATCGCTCTATACATTACAACATTACCAATAGGATTACTTTATTGCTCCTACATTACAATATTACCAATAGTGTTACATTATGATACCTCGTGGGGCATTGTGTCTAATGTTGCCCACTGGAGTTTGACACATCCCATCCCTGGTGGGCCAATTTTGGGTCGATGACGCGACGTGTTCCGTATGACAGGACGGAGGGCGGCGGGCAGGGGCATCACCCCAGAGCCTCACGTGCCTCCTCTTGCCTCGGCAGGTGACTACTGCAACCTCCCGCTGTACGTCAAGTCGGACGCGTTCTTCCGCAAGCCGGACGCGCACGAGCCGTGCCCGGTGGTGCCGCCGCGGGAGGCGTCCATCCGGAACCTGGCCCGGGCGTACCACGCGCAGGCCCGGCACATGACGCTGGAGCCTGGCACCAAGCCCCTGGGGCTGCCTCCCCCGGCCTCGGCCGCAACCACCTTACCTCAGAGGACTCTCCCCATGCCCGGCACGACCGGCACCGCGGCCGCGCCCGCCGCCAGCGCCGCGCCCGCTCCCCCCGCCGCGGCCGAGCCCCCCGTCACCGCCGCCGCCGCCGAGACGCGGGTGCCCACGCACTCCAAAGTGGGGGGCTCCAGGGACTCACTGCTAGAGATGAGCACGTCGGGGGTAGGCAGGTCTCAAAAACAGGGCGCCGGAGCCTACTCCAAGTCCTACACGCTGGTGTAGGGGCACCCACCGGATGCTGCTCGTCCCCACCCCACCCGACCCCACCCCGCGCCATTTATATTTAATTAACAAACTTGTACATAATGAACTCTTTTGTATAAAAATGAAGCTATTTTCTTCTTCTCCGAACAGAAAAAGAAACCAGGGCACAAAGAATTTGATGTTACAGATTTAAAAATATAATATATATGTAAACATATATATATATATTTCACATCATTTTGAAAGGGGCACAAGAAAAGACTCAGCGACTTTTTTTTTTTTTTCTTTTCTCTCCCTGATCTTGTCGGTGGTTTTAAAAAGGAACGTCTCCGAGACATTGCATGCTATTTTACTGTTCTGAAAACAGCAGGAGTTGCTTCAATTTGCAAATGCTTATGTGTTAATACCTTTTTCTATGAAAAAAAACCCAGCGCTGTGTGCAATAAAGGTTATGTTTATACGTGGGCGTTTGTTAAGTGAGCAGGGAATTAAGGCAGAGCAGGGCAGGAGGATGGAGAGGGACAGCCCAGGGCAGCCCAGTGTACAGAAATACTAAGACATGGGATTAAATATTAAGGAATACTGAGAAAAGAGATTAAATACTAAGGAATACTAAGGCACTTATGGACCTGCAGAGCCGTGGGGCAGGAGGAGGGTCAGGGATGGGAACAGGGTCCTGAGTGAGACAGCGCAGCCACAGCCAGACTGTGCCACAGCACAGGGTCACTGGTAAGTTCAGCCACAGCCCAGGGTGAACCAAAGTGCCAGACAGGAATCCTGGTCCAGCTCATCCGGAGGGGTGAAGCGATGCACGGCTGCGGCGCCTCACAGCTCTGGCATCTCAAGGTAAGTGCAGGGCAGCTCCAGCATCATACCCAGCATCCAGCTCCTCACAGCAGGGCCTGGTTCCCTGTGATGTGGCAGCAGGGAGAGCAGGAGGAGCAGCACCACTGCTGAGCACAGTGAGCGGCGAAACATGGCACGCTGTGGTGAAGTGCAGCACAGTGGGGAGCCCAAGAAATCCAGCACAGTGCCACGGATCGTGATGTGTCTGCCTTCCAGCGTGCTGAATCGTGGCACAGGACATGGTACAACACTGCACAGGTGCCCCAGGACTCAGGGCACTGTGACACACCATAGCACAGTGGAACACCATAAAGCCTGGAACAGCCCCCCCATAAATGGTTCTTATTTTTCCTCTTTGTTTTCAGCACCAGCTACAGCAATAAACCACCAAAGAGATGCAGGTTCTACTCTCCCCTTTATTATGTAGTTGTGAAAGCAAGAGCAGCTGAAGCTCAGGCAGGAGCCAGGGGCTCTGTTCTGCTACCTGTTCTGCTACCCCAGGAAGGCAAAAATAGCTCAGGCCATTAACTCTTGTTCTAGCAACCCAAAGTACAACTTCACCTTCCTGAGGAGCTTCTGGTGCTTCGAGGTCTAATTAATGAACTGCACTTTCATTTCCTTATTTCCTGTAATTTATAAGCTCAAGTTTTCATCAGTTCTCCATCCATGCTTGCTGCCCACTGGTTCCAGCGTTTTCCTTGCAGATACACTTCCTATTTTAACTCAAACCAGCAATTGGAGCATCTATACACAGGTTTGTACCATTCTCTTCCCGCCCCACCCCCTTTACAGGGTTTAATTCATCAGTTATGATCAAGTGCTGCAGAGATCACTTTTTCAATCTCCCTGATTTTTTACAATGTAGTACCCAAAGAAAAAAATTACATAGAAATACAGTGACTAGTGCTACTGGTGCCATTACCTGCAGTCTCCCCATGCAGCAATTCCCTTCCCTGCCTGCTGGCACACTGGTCAGCAGATCCTCCTTTGCCATCTGGTTCTTCCTAACTAAGGTAACTCCTGAAATCCTGCAGAGCTGGAAGCACTTTGGCAAGAGCCTGGCAGCTGTTCACCCCTGGGGCTCGAGAAACAAGCTGTTAAGACGATTTCTTACGCCCATTTTTTATGGTTTTTGGCCATTATTCAGGTACCACTCAGTGCCAACCCCTGCCAAGGAGCATCTTGCAGGGAGAGGGGCACCTTCCCCACACAGGCTGGTGTGGAGGCATCAGGGATGATGCCCCAAATGCCAGGGCTGCTATTTCCCACTTGTATTCTTGCACCAACCCCCCCACTGACCCCTGTACAGCTTTTCTTAGGGACTAGGCACGAGTTTCCTTATTAATTCAATTATTTTAACAGCTCTTTGGAGACAAAACCATGGTAAGTTTCCAACTCAGCATGAAGGAATACACATATTTTGCACTGTGCCAGCTCTGTCCCACACTGGCCAGTGTTTGCCATCAACCAAGGGAAACCAGTCCTGCCCCATTCTGTCTCTCCCCAAGAGCAGTGGAAAGTGGTGACAGCAAACCAGCATCTCTCAAGCATTTCTGTAAGGATTTCAAAACCAGTTCAGAGCACATTAGACTTATAAACCTTTACATAATTACAGATTAAAGAAAAAAAAATAAGCAAGTGCCCAGCCCCATCTTAAAGCAGGATCACCACCAGGCAGCACCTCCAAAAATGCCAATACCAGGCTCAGAATAGAAACAGAAGAGAAATTAGAATTAGAAATAGAAAAGGCAAGCGTGTTCAGCTGTGAGAGTAAGTAGATTAGCGAGATAAAACGCAGGATAGATTAACAGAGATTAATACGTCTTTATTGGAATTGGCTAGTACAGATTTCCTTCTACATCTTAGCAAGGATTCTCCCCCTTCCCTTCCCTTCCCCAGCAGGCACAAGCCTGCACAGTTTAATGCAGCCCAAGTTTCCAGCACTCCCCCACAAGACCCCAACACCCCCCTGCTCCCAGCGAGCCCACTGCCCTTTGCCACAGCAGGATTTGCAGGAGAACAGTGAATTCAAGCCACACCAGCCCAACTCTGCCTTCAACAGAAAACACATGCTCACAAATCCAGAGTTTTGTTTCAGGTCTGTTTTACCAAGCTGACACTCAGACCCAAGACTCTCCTGGGGGTCCTGTCCCTGCCTGACCAGGAACAGGTCTCTGTTCAGCTTTGCTGCACCAAAACACCAGACCAAGGGGCTGGGTGGGCTCCAACCCAAACACCAGTGTTACCAGAGGACTGTCTAAGGAAGAAAAGCACATTCAGCCTCAGAAGACAGAGTCCCACCCCACTTCTGCTCTGGCACCCCAACCAGTTCTCCACAAGAAAAGGTAAGATAGCTCACAGCTCAGCTCCTCAGTTGCCTGCAGCACGTCCCCTCGGTGACATTCCCACTCCAGGCTGGCTCCAGGACTCTGCGCTGGCACCTCTGCCACCCAGAGCAGAGGAAAAAGGCAGTTGTTCCACCCAACTCCAGAGGCAGAGTGGAAGAGGTGCAGGGAAGGGGCAGTGCTGAGTGAAACAAGCCCCAGCTTGGCAGTGACCAGCCAGCACAACCACCATCAGCTGTGCAGAGCCCCACTCCCACCCACACAGCTGCTGGGACTCACTCACTGTGACCCAAGGGCTGGCCAAGGACAGGTTTGCAGCATCACCCCCTGTTCCCAGGTCCCCAACAGCCCTTCCCCAGTTCTACCCTGGCCCACGAGGTAATGCTGACTGGGGAAGGACTGAGCAGGAGGGAGAGCTCGCTCTGAGCAGTGACCAACACAAGGGCAGAGAACCTACACCCACACCAAGGGGGTGCAGGTGTAGGTTCAGGGGGCGGTTTCACAGTCACCACAGCCCCAAATGTCTCTGGGGTACAGAACAGACAAACAGGAGGGACGGTGCAGGGCACGGGTGGCTGATGTATCTACTTCTTTTCCTGCTTCTGCTGCTGGTACCTCCTGAAGTGGGTCTGGATGGTGATGGCTGCCCTCTCAGGGTCACTGAAGCACTTGCTATCCTTTCTGGCATCAGGGGTCACATCACCTGGGGTGACAACAGAGCATCACAGTGAGCACAGGCAGTGCTGGTGGCCCTGAACAGGCTGCATAGAACAGGGCAGGGTTCTGGCATCACCCCCACAGGGTCAGTGGCCTCCACAGGCTCCCAGACAGGACATCTTACCTTGCTGGGGAGGTCAAAGAGGCTGGAGAGCTCAGAGCGTGAAACCACAACTTCCACTGGCTCACAGAGACATCTCCAGGGCACAGGGAGCAGGGAACAGGAGGCAAAGCAAAGCCCAGCCTCCCTGGCAGCACTAAGCCCTCTATTTACACAGCTCCACTCCCCAAAGACAGCAGCTTCCCCACGTTTAATCACCACGTATGATGCTCACTTACTTTCGCACACACAAATAAGATTAGAAAAAAAGCCCGGCACTGTACAGCAATAAAGCTCTCATGCTGACAAATGGGAGCCCTCCCCACTCCTGCTTAATGTGGCATTAGGGAAGTATTGTGAAATTCAACAGGAACTGCATCAAAGCCACTCAGCAGTGCTCCTCTAAGCCAGTGTGTCACTGCTAAGCACCCCCCGAGCAGCCATCAGGAATCCTGGGGCCAGATGCTGCTGTATAAACTCACCGCTGTCACCTGAACCCATTTCCCTTCACAGCCTCAAAGAAATTGCCAAGTAAAATGATAAATAAGAGGAGTCCACATTGGGAAGGGGCTCCCTCCTGTCCTGCTTAACAAGACACACCATCAGCTGTAAATCCTGCACAATGCACAAGTCCAAGGGCAGAGGCTGAGGACCACGGGGCAGGGACTGCTGTGCCTGGCAGGAGGAGCCCTGGCTGTGTGGGCTGCCCAGAGCTCCACAGGAAACACACCTGCCCAAGGAGCTCAGGCACTGTCAGCCCGGGGACCTGCACCTACTGCAGGGCAGTGAAACCCCCAAAGCAGCGACCAGGCTGGCCAGAGCTCCTGCTCCATCCAGGAGGGACGTCACAGCAGCGGTCCCAGCCCCCACTGCCCCTTATCCGATTGGCACCAAGAATAGAGCTGCTCAAAATCCTCTTTGCTGAGCCCTTGACTTCAGCAGAGGGGCCTTGGAGACCAGAGCAAGGAGCAACAGGGGCTGAATTCCAGGAGGGTTTACCAGAAGAAGGAGAAGAGGAAGAGGGGCTGTTTTGGGAGATAGTGTGGGTTCTCCTCAGCGTGACCCCAAGGGAGTCAGTGGGGCAGGTTTCATGGGAAGAGGGGAGAAGGGATTTGCACAGACACATGTACTGTTGTACATTCAGTTATGCACCCCTGGGACCTTCACTGGCTGATACTACACATATTAACAAATATCTCACCATTAAATATCCTTTAATAATGTCACAGGGACAGATTTCTGGAAGCAGAAAGACAGCATGAAGGTGCTGCAGTGCCTGCTCTCCTGCTGCATCCATGGTCCCAGCCCCAAGTTTCCCCTATTACCTGGACTGGGTTTTTTTTTTCACTGCCTCCCTTCCTGCCCCATACTCACCTTTGTCTCCAGAAAGTGAGTAGATGCTGTTGTGCCGAGAGTTCCTGCCTCTCTAGAAAGGTGGAGAAGAAAACTAAGAGTCAGTTATATCCCAGGCAGAGGCAGTGAGGACAGTCCCTTTCAGGCCAGCTGGGAATCTCTGAAAGGCACAGGACCAGCCCCACCAAGCTTTCCAATGTCCATTGCCTTTGGGAAACTGGAACATGATTACTGTTGTTCCCTTAAAGAGCACTGATTAATTAATCTGCATTTGTGAAAAGACCTCCAAGGAGAGGCAGGAAAGAATTTTGTATCCAGGCTCAGAGCTGTGAGATGTGCCCAGTATACCTCAGAATGGATGCTGGCACAGATCATCCTCACTGGATCTGCATTTCAAACCAGCAAGAAGACAGGCTTGCTGGGTTTGCTTTCACCATTCCAGCCCCTCCACCATGAACCTGCAGCTCCTGGGACGCCAGGTCTGCTAGGGGATATTCCCATTCCTAAAAATCAGCTTGAATTCGCCTACCAATACCTCTCCTACATTTTTCATCTTATCCCACCTCCTGACACCACCTTATTTTCCCAGCCTGCCTGGCTGACAAGGCTGCCTCGTGCAGCAGGCAGTGCCACCCCTGAGCCAGCTGCCCTGGCGGTGCCCCCAGGGCTCACCTCGCTGTCCCGGCTGGTGCGGCGGCTCTGGGACACGCACTGGATCTGCCAGGGCAGGGGCTGGTACACCAGGTAAGGCAGGGGCTCCTCTCGGAACAGGTTGGTCTCCAGCTGCACACAGGAAGGGTTTGCAGCAGGTAAGGGGACAAGGAGAGAAAGGGGAAGAGCAACCGAAATTGCTGCTCCTCCACGTGCGTCACCAGTGATCAGAACCCTTCCCGGCACCACCCACGGGCAACACTGAGGCCATGGGGCTCCCAGACCTCCCAGCCAGGGTTTAAGCAGGCACAGAAGGCCATTCCCAACACGATAAGTGGAGACCACTGCCTCCTCTCCCTGCCCCCACGGAGAGCAGCCCTGGACGGGGGAGAAACAAAACGGAAGCATTAAATCCCAGCTGCTGCCAGGGCAGCCCCGACTCACCTGTCTGACCACCCTCACCACGAAGAACAGCGCTGTCATCAGGGTGCCCAGCATGGCCGGGGTGTCCCAGGGGCTCCCTCTGTCCCGGGAAGGCACAGCTCTGGGAGCAGAGCACGGTGATGTCCAAGCAAGCAGCCACGGACTGAAGTGTCCCTCCTTGGGCAGGCAGAGGCCAAGCCCCTTAATGAGCTTATGGCTCGAGCTCCTCCTGGTGAAGTAATCGAGCGCTGCCCTTTTAACTTCTAATCGCCGAGTTTCTCCAGCAGACACGCTGCTGGCATTCCAGGAAAAGCAAATCCCCTTCTCCACGCGCACAGGCAGGGCAGTGAGCACAGCCACACATGCACAGCCCAGCCCCTGGGCTCAGATCACAGCAAAACCCCCACAGCAGGAGGCTCTCACAGTCCACACAGGACCTGGGATGTGTCAGAGCTGCCCTGTGCTCTTTGCACAGCAGCTGCTCGGGAGTGGGGTAGGGGACCTGTTCCCAAAAGTGCCTGCCCAGACAGCTTGTGCTGCCATCAGAGAGCTCCTCTTACCCAGCTCTCCAGCCAGCAAAGACACACCAGTGCAGACCATACACAGCAGGAACTGGGGCAAGTCAAGGCTTGGTGGTGGTGTGGTTTCTTTTTAAGGGCAAAACCATCAGCCTCCACTTCTGCATGACCAGCTGATCAGCACACTGTGCCTCTCCAGTCCTCCAGCTCCCACAGGTGCCTGGCCAGGAAGCCACAAGGGGACAGGAACAAGCCATGGGAGGAGAGAAGAACGTCACCAATCCTCCCTAATTCCAAGGGAGAGCATTACTCAGCAATCCCACCACAGGATCCCAGAGGCACCCAGTGCACTGCTGGGGGAATTCCTGGCTGCTCCCAAATACGTGGGAAATCAGCAGCCACAGCCAATCTCCAGTTCCACAATTTTAACAGATCCCAAGTTGCCAGAGAGAAGCTCCAGCACAACATCCTTGTCTTGGGTTTGTAGTTTTGGTTTTTAGCTTGTTCTCTCCCTGCATTTGCTACCCTGACCAGATACTTAAAAGAATAATGGTAAAGCCACAACGAGCTGAAGTGGTCCTGGAAACTGCCAGAAATGACCTTGACAAGACAAAACATGAGACAGCCCAGAGACAAGCAAGGGAAAGATGTGAGAGGCAAGTACAGCTGGATATCCAGAGCTACAACAGAACAGAGCTACAACCATCACCATCACACAAAACAGGCTCATGTTGATTTAATTTTGTACAAAACCAGATACAGCTGCTATCCCAGGTTTTAACAGGAAAAAGGAACATGTTTCAAACCGAGTTATTGTTAAAAAAAACTGGCATTTCTCTGCAGCACTAATCCATGCTTCTCCCAACACACAGAGTGGACTCAGTGATACAGCTCTGGCCACACTGAGCCAGAACCATGGAGTCTCTACTAAAAAACCTGACTGGAAAGATTGCCATGTTTCCCCCAGTATCCAGGAAACTAAAAGCAAAATCCCTACAGACAGGGGTTGGTGCAATCCGACAGCAGATGGGAAACCCGTGTTTTGATCCCTCCCTTCCTAGAGAGGACTAAGGCTGCCTGAGTAATTACAAAAATTCTAAGAACATCAGCAAAAACAACAAAAAAAAGAAAATTAAAATAAAATATACAGACATTCTTAAGAGTTTCAAAATGATGTTCATCAAAAATATATTTCTATTTGCATGTAAACATCCCCCTGCCATGCTCACGGCGTGTGCCAGCACACACCACCCAGGAGCAGAGCAGGAGGGGGCTGTGCATCATCACCCACCCGAGGAGCACACACAGCACGGAGGGTGAGGGGCATCTCAGGAGAAATGGCTTTGAAGATCATTTTTCACAGATGGGATCCCTTGAAGTGCAGGCGTTCCTCATCAGGCGAAATGGCAAGTGGCTCGGCATCTTTTCAGGGCATAAAATATTTAGAGTCAGCTTGGAGAAAATACTGACAAAGACAAGCAAACACCACATTCCTGCTCAGCAGTACGAAATCCTGACCCCTCCCCACTGGGCAGAGCAGCACCATCTGCCCCTCCCAGCTCGTGCAGCCCAGTGGGCTGGGATCCACTCTGGACAGAGCCCTTCCCAAGGAACACAACTCCAGCCACCCAGTGAGCAAAGACACGAGCCCTCATCTCGCAGCTGGGGACCAGGAGCTGCTCACCCCAACCCCTCAGCCAGCCTTCCAGTCTTCAGAGCCCGTCCCACAACCCTCCTCTGCCAGGATCCCTGTGGAGCTGCTGCAGGAGCAGCCAGGCCGGGCTCCAGGATGGATGCCGAGGGCTCCCCAGCCCCTGTGCAGGGAAGCAGATCCCAGCTGCTGAGCTGAGCTCTGGATCCCTCTCCCCAGGGCATGGAAGGACGCAGGTGGGGCTCTGTCTCCACGTTCACAGGAGACTGAGCTCCTCAGCAATGCCTGCACCAGCAGACACTCCTCACACTCTCCTGCCATCCCTGCTCCCGCTGCCATTGGCACATCCATGACACAGGAACAGAGCTCCCACAGCTGCTTGGCTGAGCAGCTCTGGCCAGTCTGGCACAGAGAGGAGCAGGGAGTGCTTGTCCAGCGCTGCCATGGAGAGCCACTACTCCTGGCTCAGTTCCTATTGCTTCCACCCCAAACAAGCAGAACATTCCCCAAGAGCCAGAACCTGTCATTCCCTGATTTTGTCCCCAGACTGCACCATTCCACTGCTCCTTCTCCCCGCTCACACGAACCACAGGCCAGCTGACATGGCCCACCTGCCATGGAGCATTTGCTGGGCATCGGTGCAGGCTCATTTCCTGACATGTTTCCTCCAGCACAGTCTCAGCTGGATTCAAATCCTCCCCCTTGACCAGTTACTCAAAGTCCTCCATGATTCACAGCTCTGCCTCACCACTGCTAGAATACTAATGAGGGAAATGTTGATTTATCGAAGCCCTGATATGTCACCGCTGGATTAAATAGTCTATAAAGTATATTTGGACACATTACAGGATTAGAAGAATCCACCTGGGAAGTTTGCTTTCTCCTTCCTCCACTCTCTTGCAGAGAGACTTATTTTCAAGGACACACAGACACAGCAGTGGTGGCTGGGTGGGCATCACTGAGACCCAGCACACCACAGGGAGACCCCCACCATCCCTCCAGAGAAAAATCCCACCTTTTAGTAGTGGTACACCTTAATTTGCCTGTTTTCATCCATTCCCAGCTGGAGGAGGTTGGAGCTGGTGCTGCTGGCCGGGGGTTTCTGTGCACGCGGGGAGAGAGGTCTGGCAGTTGGGTGAAGGAAAAGCCTGGCTTAGAGCAGGAATTAGCACACCTGATCACAGCCAGACAGGGCAGGTACTGAGGTACAGAGCCAGCCTTGTGCACACATGCTGTATTTAGCCTGCTGCATCCCAGTCAAATGGAATTAAAGGGGGATTAGGGAATTCAGAGGTGCACCGGGCTCAGGACAGCACAGAGGCCTCAGGGATTTGTTGCTTATCAGTGAACACAGGAAGAGACACCGACGTACCACATAGCCTGGAAACATCCCTGCTAACAGCACAGAGAGGTTTTGCTCTCTGGATCCAACCTCATCCAGCAAGATGCCTTGAAATGGAGCTGGAGAAGAGCTCCAGGGGGAGCCCAGCCCTTGTGGCCACCCCATGTGCCACTGTTTGGTTCATGCTTTCTGAATTCTCACATTACCAGCTCTAACTTTACAGCAGAGCAGCATCACTAAAGAGCATCCCAACCAGGGAAAGGAAGGGAGGAGAATTCCTCAGTCAAGTCCAGCTCAAGGAGCAGCAAAGAGGTGGCTCATGCTCTAACTGCTAAACACCACATTCCTCTGCAGAACCAAACACTAAAGCAAAAATATCTGTTCAGTGCTTCGGTGCTCCCAGTTCACTCACCTCCTGCCACCTCCTCCTGCCCGCTGCAGGGAGCAGGAACACACTCAAAGGCCAGACCCAGCTAAAGGATACGCTTTTGAGTCCTTCCTGAAGCTTTTCAGCCATTTCTTGTTGCTCTCAATCATTCCTTCAATGCTCATCTTCCCTGGCTCACGGAACCTGGAATGCTGGAACTGCCGGATTTGTTCACTGTGGCACATGAGAGAGAGAGAGAGGGTAGGTGGGAAGAAGAGGTCTGGGCACAACTGAGGAGAAAGTGACGGGCTGTTACAGAAGGAGCCACCATTACCAAAAAAGACCCTTACCTTGCAGGTATGTATCCCAGCTTGTTGTCCAGAGGCTTGGGATTCCCACTGAGCGATGAGATCCCCTCTGGAAAACAAGACATTAAATACAGACACTCCAAAATCAACAGCCTTTATACCTAGATGCATTTGCTTCCTTGGACTGTGGACACACTGGCCCCACAACCTGCCAAGGACACAGTGGAGTTAAGGAAGCAGAGATGGTGATCCCTCTGTGCCACTCACAGGAGGCTCCCAGTGAAGCTGCTCCTTTAGGAACAGCTGCTCTCCTGGGTGTATATTAAAGAGCAGGATGACAGGATCAGCCATATGCTGCACTTCTGGAATGAGCTTCTCATTCCTTATCCCATTAGCACCCTTCCTATCAGCAGCTCCAGTGCATCTGCCCTTCCAGCATCGGAAGGCTGAGACAGTCAGAACTTGCAGGGCTGAGAAATCAAAAGCTGAAGGCAAGGAAGCAGAATGGATTGAGGACAGGAGACTCACCTGGGAAATACCTGTGCCATTTCTCTGCCAGGATGCTGTCCACTGACCGCCCTGAGACGGAGAGACTAGAGCTCAACCCACTGCTCCAGGCCCACCTGTCGGTGGAAGACACCCTGGAAATATCTCCCATGGAGCTGCCTGCCCGCAGGCCTGACAAGGAGGAATATGTGGACAGAGGGATGCCATCACGGGCTGTCGAGGCGAAGAGAGGAGTGTGGTGATGGCTCAGGGAGTCCAGGACACCCAGGACCCCGTTCAGCTCGCTGGTGATACACTGCAGAGAGTCCCTCAAGTGCTGGATCTTGTCCAGCTGGGGGACAGGCCATAAATCCGTCCTCAAATCAACTGGAGAAAGAGAGGAGAAAGAAAGGGTCGCAGGCAAGCGCTGACAGGAGCGGCCTTTGTGCAAACAACCCAACCCTCCTGCCCCTCCTCCCTGCACAGCTCCAGTTACAGGCAACTGAAGGCCAACAAAAAGCATAAGCAGCAGAGAAGGAATTGCAGCAGCCTCTCCTGCCTGGGAGGTGAGGAAGGGGAAACCCAGACTCCTGCAGAACAGCAATACAGCTCTGCAGCAGCAGAGGGAAGAGCTGAAACCAGATTTTATAATGCACAGAGATTTCAAGGGCCAGTTCATGCACAGTCTCCATCCCTCTTATCTGCCACTACAGGCAGGAAACAAGTTTTTCCAATCAAGTTTCACACACAGAGCAGTCCCAACCATGGGGACCAGCCCTGCCTTAGACACCGCTGAGCACAAGCGAGAACATCAGCAGAGAGGTGCAAGGCAAAGCCAGAACAGGTCCAGGGCCTCACAGGTTGGGCAGAGCACACCCAGCCAGGCAGGCACTTACACTTGGGCTGACACAGTTCTCCAATGGATGTGCTGTCTGTGTCCTCAGAGTCACTCAGATCAAAAGTCACCACCTTCTTGCATGCAGCACTCCTCAGCGTATCCTCATCCGAGAGCTGGCCAGGAGGAAAACAGAGAAACAAAACCTGCTGTATCATCCCTGAAAAGTAAAAGCTGCTGGAAATCTGCCTGCAGCTTGTCTACTCAGTCAGGCACAGGTCAAGAGAAGGCAAACTCGTCTTCAGTCCCTGACAGCAAAATCTGAATACCAAGAGACTGCTTAGGCTCTGGAAGTGTGAGAGGCCAAATCCAACAGCCACGTGAATTGGCCCTTCTAGACAGGAGTCAAAGTGTTTTGTGCTTTAAATAACCCTCAGAAATCTTGCAGGGCTGGGTTCCCTCTTTGCACCATCCAAAGGCTGTGCTCTTGGATCTGCTGCTGCCCTGCCCAAGGCCATGTGGTCCCAGGCAGAGCCAAAGACATTCCAAGGCTTGCCCTGGTCAGGAGAGCAGGCTCCATCCCAGACCTTGTTTTCTCTTAGGTTCTTTTCCAGGCTGCTTTCTGCAGCCACACACTCAGTCTCCTGTGCTCTCACAGAAAGTGTTTCAAAATCCAGCTCTGCTGGCAAACTCCAGTGTATGGCCACCAGCCCCTCAGGCCCTCCACCTGGGGAAGAAGGCCAAGAGCTCTGGGCAGGAGCAATGCAGCTGGGAAGACCCTGGGAGTGATGCTGGTGGTTACCTCCTCCAGCAGTGAAGACTCCAGCTGGCTGAGCTTCTCCTCCTTCTTCTGCAGCAGCACCTGTCCTTTCTGCATGGCCGACTTCATCTTGTCCAAGTGCTTTGCCTCCTGCAGGGGATCAACAGCCAGGCGAGGAGGGAAATTAAACCAGAATGACAGGAAATGATCTATGTCAGCAGTTAGGGTGACTTTCATTATCTCAATCTGCTCAGCACAGGAAATGATGCTGCTGGAGTGAAATTGCCCCCAAGCCCTCGAGAGCTCGGGAAGCGGTGTGGACAGCGAGCAGAGCACATGGCTCAAAGCAAGGTCAGCCCAGGGAAAAGGAGGTTTCACCTCCAAACCCCACTCCCAACGAGGTCACCGCACCTGCAGAGCCAGGAACTGATCCCAGGGCTGTGGGATTGTTCATGCCCACCCCCTGTGAGTGAGCTCAGGGCTCACCTCCTCCAGGTTCTGGCGCATGCCCTCCAGGAGCTGGGAGCTGTGGGGATCCTGCACTGCCTCCTGTGCCCTCTGCAGGTCCTGGCGCCACTGCACCCTCGCAGCCTTCAGAGCAGAGTGCCTCTTCCTCATGGAGCGGGTCTGGCGCAGCAGGAACTCCTTGGCATTCCGGAGGGAGATCCCTTCTGCCGAGATGTAGCTCCGGACGCTGCAGCAGAGAGGCAGGAATGAGCCCTGGCTGCCTGTGCCCTCCAGCACTCCCCCCTCCCCAAACCAGGACTGTCAGGGCACTGTGTGCAAATCCAAGCTAAAGCATTTCCTTGGAAAACCAGAGCAAAAGGAAAGGCCTTCTGGCACTTGGATACTCACGGATCGAACTGGAAGTCGCTCTCCTCATGGCTCTGAGAGGCTGGGGAAGCAGGTTCTCTGGATGAGGGCTGAGGAGGTAAAGCATTTCAAAAATTAAGAAATGTGTACAGGAAATAGAACCCCAGGGCTCCTGTAAGAATTCAGTTAGGAGTGAAAAATTGGAATGACATCACCATGGCACTGCCCAGATCCAGAAACAGCACCTGGGATGTTCTTCATGGGATTTTTGAAGGTGAGACAGACACTTCTATTCCAATTCAAGCCCTGCTTTTGACTCCAGTAACCCACACGCCTCTCCACCCACTAATAACAGACAGAAATCAGCAAATACTACTGAGCATAGTGGCAAAGATAAATGCATCCCCTCAAATGATTTCACACAGAAGGAACAAAAGCTGGGATTTTCAAGGGAGTTACAGCCTCAGATCTTACAAAGCAAACACCTTCAGAGTCTGTTTTACTCACAGCTTGAGTACTTTCTCTCAGGTCTTCAATACGGAGCTCAGTTTGCTTTCTTGGAGACTCCACACCTTCTTCTGCCTCCAGTTCTTTCAGAGTCTCCTGCTTGCTCCTGACTGCTTCTTCCAGCTCACTGCCACAGGAAAAGACAACAGTGGAGGCACTTGATTAGCCTGCAGTCCACCCTGACTGCAGTGGTGTCCAGATTCCAGGAGGGAAAGGGCCACAGGCATCTAAGACAGCACCAGTGTTGGTTCTGTGCCAAGCACAACCCCTGGCTGGGCAGGGGAACTGCTTCCCACCCTTCCCCAGCAGCTCAGCCACCTCAGGAAAGTCTCTTCTTTGCATTTCAGTGCTCCTCTCACAGCATCTCACCAACCACACAAGGCAGGTGAGGAGGAGACAAATCAAGCAGAGGTAAAGGAGCAAATTCACACCCTGAGCTACAGACAGAGTGGGAAAGTGCTCCTCCTACACACCCAATGCGTTTCTGCAGCCTCTGGCTCCGGGTCTGCAGCAGGTCCACCTGGGCCTCCAGCTCAGCCTTCTGGTCCTGCAGCTCTTCCAGAGACTTCCTCAGCTGCCGGACGGACTCGAGGAGGCTGCCATGCTCCCTCCTGCTCTCCTCCAGGCGCAGCTCAGAGGCCAAAGCAGCTTCCTAGGAGAAAGCAAAACAAAAGGTCCCCCACGGTCATTTCCCCAGCACCAAAGTAAGAGGCACACACAGCACACAAGGGCTCACAGGGGTCCAGAGCTGCACACAACCTTCCCCCCAGTCCTGGAAAAACAGGACTGTCTCTTCTCTTTGGGAAACTGCTCGGAGTTAATCCACCTCCCAGCAGGATGGCACTCCAGACTGGGGCAGGGAGGGATTTTCAGCCTCACAGTTCAGAAGCAATGGTTTCTTTTTTTTTTTTTAAGTCGCAGTTGCAGCGTGGTGCCCTCGGCCCCACCAGCAGCACAGCCCCTGTCCAGAGCTCAGCCATACATACATCCCTTTCGAGCTGTGTCCTCCTGTCCTCATCCAGCAGCTGCTGCCTTTTCCTTCGCAGGTCCTCCTCCTGTGCACAGGTGAAAAAGCAGATGAGTGTCAGAGCCAGGAGACTGCACCACCTCAAGAACAGACCTCAGGCCCAAGTTTCAAAATACCCAAGGACTGTTGTCAGATTTGCTTTATGATCCCTCTGCCCCTCTCACAGTCACTCACTATCCCCCAGAAGCGCTGAGCAAACCCACAGCTCAGGCTCTCACTGCAAACACCAGCCCTGAGGCTGCACCACCAGGAATGCTTAGCCCTGCTCTGGCATGTGATGGAAGCTGTACCTGCGACTGGGATGGCAGCAGAAGCCCTGGCTGAGCATTTCTGACCAGTCCCCCACCAGGAAGCAGCCAAAGGATTGGCACAGCTAAGGAAACCCCTGTGAGGCCACCAGGCCGACTCACCTGCCTCAGGAGCTGCTCTGATCTGGTTTGGAGGCTCTTTGCACGGATCTCGAGCTCGTTCTCCGCATCCTGGATTCTTCTTTCCTGCATGGAGATGCTGAGTTAAAGAAAGAATGGCACAAATTCATCCCTCACCTGGCAGAGCTCTATCACAGACTGGGAAGTGTGACCTGTTACTCGAGTCAGTCCCCCTGGGCTGTGGAGGGTGGAAGGGGCACGAGGTGTGGGGTGCCCCCAATCAGCCAGGTCACACGGAGCAGAGGGGTGCTCCTCACCTTCTCCCTGTGCCTGTGCTTCAGGTCAGCGAGCTTCCCCTCCAGCTCCTCCTGGAGAGCCTTCACCTGGGCATTGTGGGACTGCCAGAGCTGCAGGGTCTCGCTCTGCACCCTCTCCAGCAGCTCCGACCTCCGCTTCCGCTCCTGAGAGGGGCGAGGAAAACCCCCCAGTGAAACACAGGGCTCTCCAGCAAGGGAACAGACACAGGGGACACTCTCTGGAGAGCGGTACCTCCTCCTCAAACTGCTCCTTAATCCGTGCTAAGGCCTCCCGGTGCTCCTGTCTCATCCTCTCCATCCTCCTCTCGTGGTCTCTCTCCACCTCCTGCCGTTTCTCGCTCATGAGCTCGCTGAGCTGGGGGGATGAAAGGGAAAGATGTTCCCTTTGAGTGACACCACTGCACGACAGGGGCCCCCAAGAATCAACCTGCCGCACGAGCCCAAGGATTGAAGTCCAGGGTGTGATCAGGCTGTGGTCTGGGGGGCTCAAAGCCTTCACCCCAGTGAGGTGAGATGTCCTTTCCCCACTGTCACTCCTGGGCTTTCAGACCTCAGCACACACCTCGGCAGAGAAGGGGAGCAATCACTCACCTCACGCTCATATTCCTTCACTTGGAAGGTCTTTTGCTGCACTTTCTGATCCGCTCTCTGCAAGTCTTCACGCAGCTGAGCCTCCTGGCTCCTCTGTGCCTCTGCTAGCTGGGTTTGCAGGCTGGAAATGACCTGCCATGAAAGCCACCCACAGAGACTCGTCACCCTTCCACAGGATCCATTCAGTGCCCTCCTACAGAGAGCCAGCAGCACGGCACAGCCCCGCTTGTGCAGTCTCACCACCCCCTGCTTGGAGCACGGCCAGGCGCTGAGCCAGACCAGAACCACGCTGGAGAAGTGGAGAAAAATTAATGCCACCCTCCCTGGCCACCTCTGGTGACAGTGTGAGGGGAAAACCCAACAATTTACATACTGAGGACACCGTCTTTACCTCGTGATGCTTCTCCTCTGCTGCAGACTTCAGCTGCTGGAGTTCACTTGCAAACTGTTCCTCCAGCTCCTCCACTGCCTATGGAAACATGAGCAAAACAGTCTGGGGACATGCCAGTACAAGATGCATTTGCAATTAAATTCTATCCATAAGCATCAAAAAGAACAATGGTAACCCCCTTCCAAACTGGATCACGTACAAGGTGCCTTTACTCTCTCTGTGCTTTCCCCCTCCCAGGGGGTTTCGATGGATCTCAGTCATACCGTGCTCAATAAACTAGAAACTGCCCCATTCAAGGACTCCCCAGGTCCCCAGAGGACTAAAGCTGAACCCAAAGTGGTGTTTGGAGCTGATAAAGTGGTTTCATTTAGTTCTGATCTGATAACAGAGCTTGGTTTAGCTTAGCAAGACACACAACTATCCTGCTCTTGTCTTCAAATTCGATGGGGCTATTTAAATCATTGTTAGTTAATCACCATTGTAATAACAATTGAGGGAGTTCTCCCCTCTTCAGTGTGCCTCTAAATGCCCACCTGGCACCTTCCCTTTGTGCTTTAAGTGAGTCCTAAACGTACAGGTGTGATTTAAATCTCAACGTTTCAGCATTGCAGTGCCAGCCAGGTCAGCAGGAACACCTCGGGGCTGACCCTGGTTTGTAACAAAGATCTCACCTTCTTCTTCTCCCTGTCCAACCTCTCCCTGACCTCGCTCAGGAACCGTTCCTTCTCTCGTTCCAGCTCCCTGATCTCTTTCTGCTGGGCTTCCTCCATTTCCAGCTTCATTTCCTCCAAGGCAAGCTGCTGCTTCCTCTCCAGGCTCTCCTTCTCCATCAGCTGCTGGGATTCCCACTCTTCCCTGAGTTTCTGCAGCGCGGCCTCCTGCTCTGCCCTGGTAGGTTTGTAACAAGGACACACAGGTCAGGATTCAGCACTGTACAGTCAGGGTCAGACCTGCTGCCACGGCAGGGAAACGGCTCAGAACCTCCACTCTGAGCAGCTGCTGGTGGCGTGCAAGATCCCTCCCTCCCAAACCAGCACAGTTTGTGTCCCCGGGGATGGCAGCACAACTTCTCACCTCATCCTCTCCTCCTCTGCCGTGGTCTCTGAGGCGATTCTGGCTCTCAGCTTTGAGAGTCTCTCAGCTTCTTCCTCTCTGACACGCAACTCTTCCTCCTCAGAAACCTTTGCCAAATCTTCTTCTGGAGTCCTGGGAGATGAGCAGCCAGGAAGAAAAAGAAAAAAGGGTCAGGAGGTTTTAATATCTTAAATCACCTCCCCAAGGTCTATAGCTCAGCTGCTGCTCCCACTTGGCTGTACCTGCCCAAATGATGCTTTCTCTGAGCTCCAGACCTTTCATTTCCCCCACACCTGCAGGACCTGCTGCTGGCACAGGAGATGCAGCCCCAGCAGCAAACCTGAGCAGTGTGATTTTAAAACACACTATACCATCATAGGCTGCACTTGGTTCGGGGTTTTTTTTGCAGGTAAATGAAATCAACTCTCATTAAATGCATGCAGGCTCCCAGGTAAGGTACCTGGATGCTCCATATTTCCATATGACACCTTTTACTACACATTTTCCCCTTCAGGTGCAATTTCTGCATCTTCCTTCACACCCAGACTGCGTCCCCAGGACATCTCATGTCAAGATGCTGTTTCTGGCTGCTCAGTGCGCTAAGAACATAAGTATCAAGTCCACCAAAATAATATACAAGCCTCGAGAGAAAAAATCCCCCAGGGAAAGGACACAGCTCCCATTGTTGCTCTCAGATCCTGGGTTTCACACAGTCATCCCTTCTGCCCTGTTCCTGGAAGCCTCGTTTGGAAGTGTCTCGGTAAAACACGCAGTATCATAGCTCCAGATAGATCCTCTGGGGCAACCTCATCTGCTCTAATGCTCCCATTTCCAGTCCTGTTACCACCATTTAGCCCAGGATTTCTGAACATCTGCCAGGTGGCAAAGCTCCAGGCACTGAACTGGAAACTTCTCCCAGGTTAAACATAAGAGACAAGTTCAGCGTTCCAAAGGCTGCGCGTGCACGGAATCAGAGCTCATCTCACAGGAGGTGGGAAGGTGCTCCCCTGTCACTCTTTCCTGAGGCTGCCTGTGCCCTGACAGCAGGGCACTGCCCATCCCAAGGTGTGCAGGTCCTCATGCACAGGATTGTCTGAGGCCCACCCTCCTCCTCCTCCCCGAGAGCCTTATCTTGCTCCTTTCCCACACCTCTGTGAAGCAGCACCACTTCCAAGGTGGTGCCTACCACAGCACGGGTCTGTGGCCAGCAGCAATGAAATCACAGCTTGGAAAGGCTCAGGGGACATGGAGTAAAAAAAAAGGCAAGTACCTGAGGGATTTTTCTTTTTGCTGATCAGGCTTCTCTGCTTCCTCCTCCTGCCTTGTCTCCTCCTGAGACTGCTGAGTTTTCTCCTCCCTTGCTTGAAATAAATGAATTTCCTTTTGCTCGAGCTCTGTCTCCACATTCTTGGCTATTTCCTCCAGGGATTCTTCCCTAGACTGGTTCAAGGACTGCTGGTGCTTGATTTCCTTCTCAGGTTGCCTACCAAAGAGAGAAAGGTCCTTTGGCAAAAGGGCGACAGAAACCCAAAAGGAACAGCAACCTCCCCCGCAAAGAGTATCAACCCCAAACCAAAAATCTCAGAAACCCCTACTCCAGAAGCCTCACTCAGCCTCATCACTGGTGGATGTCTCGCCGACTCCCAGAGAAGTTCTGATGATAAATGACACCCAGCCCCAGCAGCACTCCTGAATAACTCTGATTTTGGCCCACCAGAGCTCACCTGGTGAGGGCAATACTGGATCATGAAGGATCCAGTAGCTACAAAGCCCTGGCCAGGCTGGCAGGCACAGGAGCAGATGCCATCAGCACCTGCTTCCAGCCCAGGGATTGGTGCTTCTGATGGACAAGGTATTTTTCTGCAATTGCAACCTGAAGTGTGCTGGGAGTTTGCCAACTCCAGGCAATAGAAAGCCCCCAGCACTCCAAAAATTCAAACTCAGTCTGGTTCTAATTAAGTTTCTTTTTCAGACAGGAGCAAAATTATAAGGTTTGAGAGAGGCTGAAGGGGAAGGAGGGGAAAATTGAGATTAGTCTATGAAGAAAAATTTTCATTCTTTGCTAGTGCAAGCTGGAGCAGGAAGGTCTCACTGTGCTGTGAGACTGCCAGTATAAGGCAGAGTGACTTCTGTTCTGCCAGGAATCAGGGAAATAACAGCCCCAGTTATAGAGCCTCGAGTCAGAAGAGAAAAGGTCACTTCTGCAGCCATTAGCAAAGAGAAGACAGGAAGGTAGTGGGGTTCTGCAAAAATCCTGTTTCACTGGTGCTCCCCATAATGCCACCTGCAGCAGGTGTCCTTTTTCAGGCTGCTCTGCAGAGCAATTCAGCCACTTCCACCTTTTTATCATGTTCTTCCTTTTGCCCCCGTTCCTGCTGGACAGGAGGCACACCCAGGTTTGCACAGCACCACAGCTCCCAGCACACAGGGGAGACACGGCTCAGGTCTGCTCACACACAGCACACGTCCTTCTCCCCCACCCTGTCCCAAGAGACACTGCCTAATTTTTCCAGTTGCATCTGCTGATGTGTCATTTGCCACAGAATGCAAAGTCAGCACAATCACACCGACTGAGCTCCTCTGTCACAGGGGAGCTGCAGCTACGGATCCACAAATACCATCGGAAGGGCAGCGACAGAAGCGGGGCTTGGGCAGGAGCTCCCACCTCATCATTTCGTTATTTCAATGCAAACACTGTTCCCAGTGGCTGTAGAACTGGGGTGACTGGTTGGGTTTTTGCTGTCCCCCTCCATCTCAGCACCACTCAGCAAGTTCTGTGGGAAAGCCTTTCTCGGGGGGGGGTGAGCGCTCGCAGCCTCGCCAGCCACACCGGCACAGAGCAGGCTTTCCCAAAGACAGGGCAAACGGCTCCTTCCCATCCCACAGAGTCCTGAGCCACAGACCTCCAGGGCTGAGCTGCTGCTCTCGCCCTCCCCAGCACAGACTGCTCACTTGGCACCCTCACAGCTCAACAGCTGCTGGGATGTGCACACGGAGCTGCCGGAGCTCCGCCGTGCCCACCACACCGCAGCTCCCGGCTTCACACGCGAGCCCCAGCCACCACAGAGGGGGACAAAAGGACACAAGCTGTCACAATCACGACACCAGCGACTGAAAGGAAGCCCTTACGCGTCCTGTGGGGCAGACAGCTCCTCTGGATCCATCGGGCTATCCAGCGATCCCTCCTCCTGCTCCGGGGCTGCCGCCTTCTCCCCATCAGGGTTTTCTAAAGCGAAACCCTTCTCTGGTGTTTCACAAGCGCTGAGATCCCTCTCACTTTTGCAGCACAAAAAGAGGGGACAGAAGGTGACGTTAGCTCAGCTCAGGTGGACAAGGGACGGGATGATGGGACACGCAGGTGACAAGAGGTGGGCACCAAGCCATGGCTGCCAACAGGACCTGCTCGTCCAACAGCAGGGCTGCCAAAGCCACAGGGAAGCTCCACGCCATACCCACCACCTCACACCAGACTAACAGGCAGCTGAGGATGTAACAGGTGCCCGTCTCAGAATCCTGGATCCCTTCCCTGGGTTATCCCCCCCCCTTTCCAGGTTCTTGGAGAATGTCCCCAAGGTACATCAGCCCTATCAGCAACACTCACGCTGCTGTCCAAATTACAGATGGAAGTGTTGGCAGGCATGTTTGTATCTACAGCCCTACTTCATCTTGCAAGCACAGAAAGGAGAGACAAGGCAAGCACAAGCAGCTTTACAGGCAGAGAGGAGAGGATGCTCAGCTGGCAAGCAGGTAGCAAGTGATAAAGAGAATTCCTGCAGGCAGAACACATTTTTGGGGACCCTCACACAAACAGCTCCTCCAAGAACAAGGCTGCAAATCCCACGTCACTCAGCCAATCATTAGGATGGGCTGCAGTTTCTTCTGCTCACGAGTTTCCCTGGCACAGGCAACACCTCCTCGGTTCCCAGTGCCCTGGAGAACATGTAACTCCACGTGGAGGCCAAGAGCTTTGACACAACTCATCTGTAAATGCCACACTGCAGCTCTCCAAGGAGGAGGGGCTCGAGGGAGCAGGGAGCTCACTGCTCAGCACAGTTTTAAACAAATCACCACAAACAGGCTGAAAACAGCTCTGCTAGACAGCCTAGACCTCGTGCTAACTGAGGGTCTGGAAGCCAGCATTCCTCTTGGGGCAGCAGCTGGTGAGCTGTCCATGTACCAGGATATAAAACAGCTTAATGCTTACACCTGGTCCACGTCACCTCTGTGGGGGTCTAGAGGGAAGAGAACTGTTCACATCACAGCTGGACTCTCCTGGCACCACAAAAAGGTACCAGGCTGGCCCTGAGAGCCCTCAGGTACAGGTTCTGCCCAGAGGGGAGCTGGCAGCCCAGCAGGACCAGTGCTGAAACCAGGGGCTGACTCAGAACCACAACAGTCATCAGGCAACAGCCACATCTTCCCTGGCTGAACACCACAGGGCCCAGCACAGTGTTAACAGGTTCAGACCCTCTTGGCAAGAGCGTGACTTTTAGAGCTTTCTAGAGCAGCCTGGGAGCTGTAAGGGAGACAGAAGAGCTGTAAGGGAGACAGAAGGCAGAGCCACAGCTGGGGTAGGCACCAGGAAATGATGGACAGGCAGTTTCACTGCTTACCCAGCCAGAAGTGGTGATGAGACAGCGCTGAGGGGGTGGCAGGAGAAGGGAGAGGTTTAGTGGGAAAGACCCTGTGAGAAGCTGCAGCATCTCAGGGTGTTGCACAGGGGACTCCTGCCCAGGTTACAGTGAGCAGAGCAGAGAGGACAAGGCAGGAAGGGCACCAGGAGCCAGAGCTGCCCACACCTCCTGAGTTGCTCTGTTTGTATCATACCTCTCAGCAGCTTTTGTTCTTTTGCTTTGTTCTTCCTCTATACTGGCTTTGCTTTGGTCTTTCTCCTCTCCTCCCAGCTCCTGGGCCTGCAGGTAAAAGCAAACAGGGTGGAGTTTGTGGCTCCTTCACCATCAAAGACCTTAGAGGGGGTTCTGCTGAAGGTCCATGGAATCAGCACTGAGCCCAGCGACCACACAGCATCCACAGACTGTTCCAGAACGTTGGATGTGCCAGCCTCCTCTCCTGAGGGCAACCAAGGGGCTCCAAACATCACAGGAATGCCTGGCAGGAATGCTTCCAGCAGCACAGGAGGCCTGGATGCTCAGCTGTCTCAGTAGAGAAGATGAACTCCCTGTCAGCACTAAGCACTTGAGACACAGGTTTGGCTTTTACCTGAAGGCCATTTTACATTCCCAAGTAACACTGAACTTCCTGAAAAATATAGGATAAAAAAAATCCCCTAAAAGAGAAATGTCACACACAAAGTAGCGTGGTGAGGCCATAAGAAAATTGATGTATTGGCTGGGACCAGAATCACATCAGGGCTCAGTCCTGCCTCCCATCCTGGTTCTAGGGCAGGCTGTGTTGGGCAGAGTCACCAATCCAGGGATTTCTGGCTCCAGGATACATCAGGGTAAGTGCTGCCCCCTGAGCAGCACTCTGAGCATTCAGTTGGTTTATTCATGACACAGTAAATACTTGAAATGTGAACAGCAAACATCTGAATGTGCAATAGTATCACTTGCTCCTTTCCCCACCTGCCAGCTCCCAAATCCCTCTGTCCCCACAGCGGGCACTGCACAGGGAGAGGGGAAGGACTTCCCTCCTCACCTGCCAGCTCCACAGCAGCAAGGGCTCACCCTCCCTGTTGAGAGTTTGAGTCCCCAAAAACACACCCCATTCATAAATTCTTGGTGACCACAGACCCAGCAGGCGAGCCCAGCCCCTTCTGTGTGTGGAGCAGGGCCAAAAGAACGCAGAATTAACACAGCAGTAATTTATGCAAATGTTCAGCGGAGCAAACAGCAGAAGGATTCCCTGCAAGTGCTGTCACCTTCCATCACATCAGCCTGGGCAGAGCTCTCCAGCAGCCCCCACCCCCAGCCCCCCTCCTGCCCCGCTGTAACTAATGACTCCAATTCCCGGGAACGAGGAGCTCAGCAAATGTTTCCTCACTCAAAATGGGCTCTGTCACTGCTGCCTGGGAACGGGAGGGAGCCAGACAAATAGAGAAGGATAACAGTCACAGGGCACCTCTGCTGAGCCCAGGCATGGGGCTACTGCTGCCCCCCCTGCCCAACAGGGCAGTCCCTCCCCAGGAATCATGAGCTGCAGGAACCTCTGGACACATTTGGAAGGTGAAGATAGCACCTGTCTGCAGGCAATGAGGGCAGATTTTAAGCCTTGTCTGTGGAATTGTCAAATCCTTGCCCCTCCTGTTGCCCCAGGATCCCCAGCAGTGCCAGTACCTCAGTTTTCTGCCCAGCTGCATCCCCAGAGGACACTTTACACGCTCAAGACACAAAATCAGTTGTGTGAACAACAGGAATGACAGATCCTGGGCCATCTCCTCCCTCTGCACAGCACAGATCCCAAGGGACTCAGCAGGAGCATCTCACATCAGCTCAGATCATGCCTGCACCCCACTCCTCACCACCGTCCCCCCAGCACCGCAGGGTCCCAGCTCCAAGCACTTCAGACACAGCTTTGCCCTTTTCCTGGAGTTTGGGCACTGAACAGGCTCCCCAGGGTTTGGGCACGACCCCAAGGCTGCCAGGGAGTGTTTGGACAACGCTCTCAGGCACAGGGTGGGATTGCTGGGGTGTCTGTGCAGGGCCAGGGGTTGGACTTGGTGTGATCCTTGTGGATCTTGCAACTCTACGTTCCATGATTCTGCATTTTGCACTTTCAGTCTCTGGCAGGTGAAGGGTGGAAGGAGCAGCCTCCCCTCTGCCAGCAGAGCAGCCAGGTCTAGCAGGACACATCCCACAGAGCCTCTGCAGCCCCCACAGCCCCTGCCACAAACACACCAACCAAAACCCTCCGATTCTGCGCTTGTGGAGCTTCCAGAGGTGCCATTTTTTAAACAACAGAACATTTTGCCAGTACATCCAAAGCAAGGCAAGCTCCTCATATGGAAGCAGGCACATTCCTACAACCAGAGTCACTCCAGCCCAGCCTCTGTGCACAGACACAAAAGAGCAGCTGCAGTTCTGCAGGGAGCACCATTTCACACCCAGCCCTCCCCAAACAGGGCTGTAATGAACTCCAGCGTGGCTGCTCCAGCAAGCATTTGCATGCACAGTGCCTGCGCTGCAGGGAGGGAGGGGGGGAACACAGCAGGCATATGTTTTGTTTTCCCTTCACATCTGATTATGCTCATTATTAGGCACAAGAGGACAGGTGTATCCTCCAGACACAACCTTACAAACCGGCTTGCTCCTCTCTGCTGGACAGGTGGGGAGTTTGCCACTCAGGGTCTCCTCCAGAGCAGCTGATCACTCACAATCAGCGCAAGGCTGAGTAACCCCAGCTGGATCCTGCCCTGCACGGCGCTCCCACGCCGGGACGGAGCGGGAGAGCTCCGGAGGAACGCGGGGCTCAGGAAGCCAACTGGGCCACGTGCTGGGAGGACAAGGGTCAACCCCAGATGCACAGCACAAGGGTAAACCCCAGATGCACAGCAACCTTCAGTCAGAACTGCCCAGCCACTGCTACATCCCAGGCTAACACGGCACAGGAGCACAGACACACAGCGTGCCACAGGCGCACGGGAAGGAGCCCATTTTCCCTCTACATGAAAGCAAGCAAGACAAACCAAATGCTTAAAAATAAGCTCCCCTCTACCAAAATCTGTCAGAGGAAGTTAACCTCCTTTCCTTCCCATTGATTCTATCGTGTTTCTGCTACACAAATCCTTCCTATCTGCTTAAGTGAAAGAAAAGGACAAATATAGCCACAAAAGGAGAAAGTAAAATAGACTCTACTTCCATCTTTTCCCCAGGAAAGCCATTTATTGGCGCTCGTATTGGGGCAGGGAAAGCACACAGGAGAGCCTGTACGTGTGCACCCCTGAAGCCATCCCCTGCTCAAGGTTTATGTTCTTTATGTAGTTCTGTGCACCTCACCTCTGCAGTAAAAACAGTGCCCTGGTAGCGCTGCTCTGATCCCTCACACTTCACCATTCACCTCTGCAAAGCCTTCCCACTGACAGCATCACACTCTACGTGCATCTCACCCCAGTATTTCACCTGTCTGTTCACAGATCACCCCTGGTCACACACACAGAACTCACCTTGCACACGGGGCTGTCTAACACAGGAGACAGAGCCCCTGCATCCAGTACTTCCTCAGAAAGCTGGCTCTGGAAGCCCAGCACCTAAAGAAGAAAGCAGAAAAGGATCAGTGTCTGATGAGAACACACAGGGTTTGCCATAGATCCTGAGACCAAAATCCTGACATGGCTTGGAATCCCCACTCCCCACCCCGCTGACAGCAGGTCAGCAGCAGTTCCCTTCGCTGGGTCCCTAAGGAAACCCTCCCTGTGGGGTCCAGGGAGTGGACAATGTGGGACTGAGAGCTCTGCCACACTCTCAGTGCACCCTTCCACTTTGACCACAGCAGGCAGGGGTGACACATGGTAACCTCCAAAGGGCACACTTCTTCCCCCAGCCTCTACTGCTCCCCTTTATGGCACTGCTGCACATTTCCTCACGTTTTTTTCCTAAAAGTCAGCTCCCATAGGCTATTCATCCTCCAAGACAATCCTCCCTCCTGGCAGAGTCTGTGGGGGTCCTTGCACTTGGCTGCACAGGGCAGTGTGTGCACACACGAGCCCGTGAGCAAGCACCACACAAGGCAGAGCCACTTGCCAACACAGGCTCGTACCAACCCTGACAAATAATGATATTCTCAGCCATTTGCTGGCCATGCTGCCTCTGCTCCCACTGGCAGATGGCAATGGCAGCTTCCTGTGGAGATGAAGAGATGCTGATGGGCATCTCCCCCCCATCTCAGGGCTTCTCTCCTGCCTGCCCTCCCACAGGCACCCTCCAGAGCCAGGTCTCCCAGCCACACACACCCCCCCTTAGCAAAAGCTGCCGAGCCCCTCAAAGCACAATTCTTACACTGCTTATTATCTTCCTTTTTTGCAATTATCTGAGCACAGCCCCAGCTCTACGTGACCTACTTTTCCAGGGATATTGCCTCACCCACAGACCCAATCTGCGAGGTGCAGGGTGACACTGCTGGCCTGGGCCACGGCTGGGAGGGCACTGCAAGCACTCCTGGGCTGCACAATCCCAGAGGAACCTGAAGCCCCGCACCCAAGGGACAAGGAGGTTTTGCTGACTCACCACAGGCTGAACCAGCTCCCCATCAGAGCAGTTGGAGACACGCAGGTCCTCCCCAGTGATCTCAGAAGCCTTTGAAAGCTGAGAGGAGAGCACAAGTTACAGCCTGGACATGTCTTACCCCTGCAGCTTCACCTGGGCATTCCCAACGTGACAACTGGCACTGGCAACACAAATCTGTCCCCTCTATAACACAGGAAACAGAAGGTGACTGAACATCACAGGGCAGACACTAAGGGTGTGACCCACAAGACAAGCACGGAACACCACAGGTAGGGGCAGGAGATGGGACTGGGGAGGGCAGAGAAGTGCTCTTCAAATACCCCTGATAAAAGGCACTTGCTTCCTCTCCATCTGCAAGGATGTCTGCAGCTCTCAGAGCTCCCAGCCCACCACACAGAACAGTACCACAGTCTCTTACGAGCACTTTGAAAGCCCATCTTGCTGTGCCTAAGTGCAGTGAGGACTGCTACGTTCCCACCATCATGAAGCCACCGTTCAGTGGGAACACCCCATGGCCCTGCTGACCTCAGCAGGACAACTCAGGTGCAGAAGCACACGGGGAAGGGTTTGGAAAAGCAACGCTTTCAGCTCTAAGCTCTTTGGGACAGAGCGTGTTTTCCAGGCTCAGCTTTGTGGTTTATCATTTCTTACAGACATTACGCATCAATGAACCAGAGAAATCATCAAAATCAGCAGGAAGGCAGCCAGATTGGAAAGAGATCATTCATCAGACCCCGTATTCTAACTCAGATTCTATTCTGGAGCATGACCACGAGCAGACAGCGTGCCTGTCTGGCAGCCCAGCTGCGGGGCCAGGCCACTGTGACACTCCTGTCAGACTGCAAAACCAATCCCCCGGGGGTTTGCAGTGGGCTGTGGCCAGTTCTCCTCCCAGAGTGGGCAGACTGGGAGGTTCTGCGCTCAAGAGGAGAGCTCCAGCTCCAGAGCCGGCCCCGAGGCTCCGTCCTTCCCCGCTCCGACCTCGCAGCTCCCGTCGCATCCGCCGCGGAGCCGCGAATCTCGCGGCTGGCACTCGCTTTACACTTGTGCCCCAGCTCTGCACAAGCTGAGACAAACAACAGAAGGAGAGAAACAAAGCAGCACGGACAGCTGGGCTCGGTGTGAGCTCCATCGTCAAACCTGCTCGCTCAGGACAGACGGCAGCGCTGGAAGCTGAGATTGTTTCTCCTCCAAGGCTCAAAACACACCTCACAGTTGAGGGATTTGCCTGTCGGTGGCTTTGGACAGCATTTGGTGTGTGCAGGAGAGAATGACTGCCTAGCTCGATCCTGAAATGCCAGTCTGGAAAGTCAGAGCACTTTGTGCCCCCCCAGGAACACCCTGCTGACCAGGAAAGCACTTGCCCCGGCTCCACAGAGAACAAGGCAGTGCCCCAAGAGCTTTTCTGAGGCAGGGTCTCACGAGACAGAAAGAGCAACACCAACCCCAAACCATGCAGGCAGGTCTCTTACTTCACCAGCATCCAGCCTGTCCTCTGTTTGTGGATCAGCTGCTGCTTCTTCCCTCACTTCATCCACCATCTTTTCTCCACAGGACACGGTGTCAGCAGTGGCAGCCAGGCTTCCTAGCTGATCTGCCTCAGCACCTTCTGCAGCTGGAGAAGCAGCTCCAGGCTGTCCAGGACCGCTGGGCACATCCATCCCTGCTGTGCTCCTTTCCCCCCCAGACTGGGGCAGCTCCTCAGCTGCAGGGATGTCACCTTGCACCTCAACATCATTTTTCTCCAGTACTTCATCCCCAGCAAGTTCCCCAATAGAGTCCTCCTTGTTCTGGCCAGACAGGCTGCTGTCAGCATCTCCAGGAAGGATCTGAACTGGAGATGGAGGGCACGCAGCATCAGAATCCAAGGAAGACTCTTGCACTTCTTCGGCATGTCTTGATTTTAAAGATTCCTTCTAGGCAGCAAGTCAAACACAATTATAGCCACAACATTCTCTCGGGGGGCACGCAGGGGTCAGGAATAGCACAGGCTCTCCTACAGCAAGCAGCAAAAAAAAAAATCACAAAGCTTTGGGTGACTTGTTTGACTTCTTTTCACACCGTCCCATTCCAAAATGTGGGACTTCACTGAGCTAATCCCATTCATTTCTTGGGCTCCCACTTAGTTTTTTTATCTGTTGTTTTTTTTCATTCACGGGGTCTCAGTGGATAAGAGTGGGCAGTGGCTGTGCAAGGCCACCAGCCCCTGGCAGCACCATATGTGCTCCACAGCAGACCCCTTTATGCTTCCACATAGGATCTGTTCAGGAAGAGATGGGAATGTGATAGAGACCATGACTGGACATTCCACTCCTGTCTCATGTTTTAAGCAGAGAACAGTAGGCAGGATCATCATCCCACCTTCCAGTGGGACAGACTTGAGGGTGGGCACTGACTGAAGCTCAGAACAAGCCTGTGACTGACACAGGAGGCTGAGAGATGGCAGAACCCACCGGCCTGGGGACAAAAACAACCCCAAATTAAAGCCCAGTCACCCAAAGGTTCCACTGCCCCTCCCAGCAGCGGGGAGGCCACACACCCACCATGGGGAGTAGAATAGCCAGGAGGGAGCAGGAGAAGGTTCCCTCATCAGCATGCAAACAGACCTGCTCGCACGTCCCACTTTCTCACTGTTTTATTAATGGCGCGGTGTCTTGTCAAACATCCCCTGCATCCCGCGTACAGCGTGTTCCGGACACCCAGCGCATATTTTAACGGGGTATTTTTATCAAAGTGCCTCTGGAACGCTGTCAGCTCCACACCCGGAGCTGGGGCACGTTCCCTGGTGTGCTGTTTGTCTGCGAGACCTTCCCAGGCCGAGGGAGCCATCCATCAAGGCTGGAGAGGCCAGGGAAATCCAATCCCTGGGCCCTGCCCCAAAACCCTGCAGTTCTGAGCCTCACCCGGTACTGAGTGACATGGATGTTGAGTTTACACCTTCCTCCACGCACACAACACTTTAACCAGCAAAACAAACCACACCAGCAGCCACCAGATGCAACCACAACACTAGAAGCTGCCTACTGCATGCAAAAGCTCAGTGACACTGTGCAAGCAGGAAGGAGATGCCAGAGCCACCATCACCTCTCCCAGGCTGCCAGCGTCCTCCACAGGACTCTCAGGGTGCTGGTGAGCAGCTCCAGGGGGATCAGCAGCATCAGCCAACGGGCTGCTGGGGTTCTCCTGCTCTGCCTCGCTGTTCTCCTGGAGAGGGGTGACACAGCCACTTGCAGAAGAGCCCACGCCACCTTTCCAAGCTGGGAGAGTCACCCACTGTGATGCTCTTCCCAGCTCCAGGCTCCCTGCCAGCTGTGTCTCCACGCTCCTCCAGCACAGGGGACAGCAAGGCTACACACACAGCAGCCATTCCTCCCCCCACACCAGCCAGCCCTGTGCTGGTATCCCTGGGATGTGTTCCCTGGGAAGCAGCAGCACTGCTTCCTGCACTGCATCCCTGTGGGAACACACCAGCTGTACTGCTCTATGTTCATGTGCAGAGGCAGCTCCCTTTCACCCTCCAGCCAGTAAAGAAGTCAGGAATGGTAATTTCCCAACACAAAGGACCCCCTTGATTCCCAGCATTTACCCAGAGACTGATGCCAAGGTGCCAGCACTGCCACAGGGGATCGTTTCTGCTGCCGTGGGACTCTCCCCAGGCACCCAGAGATGCTGCCAGACCCATTTCTCCTCTTGCCCCTTCCAGCAATATCCCCAATCCCTTTTATATCTTAGGCAAGAGTCTCACATGTCTGCAGTGAGGATTCAAGGCTCCAGAAGGCAGGAAAGCAGGTTCAGGTGAGAGTCACTAAAACTGCGTATTTCCTTTGAACACAGACCCTCAAACCCTGACCACAGGCTATATGAAGGCAGTTTTTTTCAGTAATTCACCCACTGCTGCTTAGACTTCCCCCTGTAGGACTTGCTACACAAACCCTCTGCTCTGTTTTACAGGGAAGCCGGAGATGGCTCGGGAACAGTCTGAGGCTCGCTCCCAGGAATGCTTTTCTACTGCCATCTTATGGAACTACAAAAGAATTCTGTTTTCCAGTGGGGCACTGCTATCTTATCAGGACTAGGATATCACCCATCTGGGTTAACAGCCAGGCTGTTGGGCAGCAATCACCATTCCATAATAGATTCCTGAAGCCCCATCCCCACGGCACTGAAATGCCAAGACAGCTCTTTGTTCCTGCACACATTAACATTTCAGTGAGGAACCGGGCCCCCACAGGCTGCTTGTTGTCTGGAGATGAGAGAGTCAGGGCTCTCTTTGTCACATCCACTTTAGCATAAGCCTTCACAGATCCTGCCCAGCACCTTGAATGGGTTCTCCAGCAAAGTACTTTACAGCTTAATTTTCGTGTGCTGTGAAAAGGATAAGGCAAATACCCTAAAAACACTTTAAAAGAAATTAATTTGCCTTTCAGATACTGGAACAGGATTTTCAAAGCGGTGAGAAAGGATTAATGTCAGCACAAACAGTTGGGCCAAATCACCAGAGCTGCTTACAACGCACTTCCCATTGTGCCCTTGTCATCTTAAGCCTGATCCCGGCTAAGGCAGAGCACAGGGAAAGCACAGTGTCTGCACAGGGCCTTGGGTGCACTGAATGCTCAGTGTCTCAGCCATGGGATTTATCTGCAGTGTAAGATGAAAGAAAACAGGTTTTGTGCAGCCACACAAAAGTGGCCACGTGCATCCCAAATTAAGGTCCTTGTGGGACCCAGTGACAGTGCAACAGCATTCCCAGAGGACATTCCCTTCTCCTTTCCCCAACGCCACCATTGCAGCTTCAGCTGAAAACGAGCCTTCTCCCTACACTCACTGCAAAAAAACACATGGAAGCAAAGTGTGCCTCTTCCTCATGGAGCCTTCCTCCCACAGCAAGTGCCGTGGCACCTCTGACCCGAGACCCTCTTCCTGTTGTTCTCTGGAAGAGCAGCTTTCCACCCTGCCTGGTTCACCTACGTGGCTTTAGTTTTCTCTGCTCTGGAGTGAAACAAAGTGCAAAGATGTCTCCTCAACTCCCAGCTACCAAACCACAACCATCCTCCTCCTCCAAACACAAAACTTGCCTTCAGCACCCACCCCCCTGCCCCCTGTGGGCCACATCTGGCTCCCCCCAGCCCTGATGCTGTGCCTTGCTGTCCTTCAGCCTGCTCCAGGTTGTTCCTAAGTGACACGAGAACCTTGTCCCTCTGGCACCATTCCTGCACCCTCATTCCCCTGGTGCTGGCAGCGCCTGAGCTCCTCTCCCACCTGGGCAGCTTCACCTGCCCATCCCCTTCACCTGCCCATCCCATCACCCCTGGTCTTACCTCAAAGTCAAAGCTGCCTCCCAGGGCATCGACATCCAAGTAGACGTTTTTTAACAGTCCTGATGTCCCACGGAAACTCTAAAAGAAGGAGATGGCCAAAACTGAGTTCTGCCTTCTGCCATCCCAAGGGAGGAACTGAGGTTTCCTCAGCAGTGAAATAAGGCAGCAGAGCTGTGGCAGGACACCCACAACCCGTTCATTTTGGAATTGCACCAGGGCAGGTGTTGATTTGTGGGGAGTACAACGTGGAAACAGAGTTAGATGCTTTTGGGTCACCAAACAGCACAGGGAAAATGCAGCACAAATTAAAGTCCAGAGACAAATGGAACAGCCCCAGCCAAGCAGACGTTACCAAGGGAGCATCGTGAGACTTCAGGTGCTCTGGTTACTGACACACATTGAGAGCCAAGGCACACAAACTACCTCATTTTCACTGTCTTCCTCCTCGTTTCTCCATTTATCCAGAGCTGCTGTGTCCAAGGAAATCTTCTCGTCACAGATCAAGCCCAGCAGGTTCCTGGTGTGCCTGGTGGGCTCACAGATCTCTGCAAGCTGTGCAGGCCAAGAGAAAGGGAAGTGAGAAGACAGATGACAGGGAAGGGAAGATGGAAACCCACTGAGACACTGGGCAGCTGCTGGATTCTGGGAAGGAGCTCAGGACTTCACTGCTACCCTAGTGCTGCCAGAGCCACATCCAGCTGGGACAGATGTTCTTAATGAGGCCAAAGAGGCTCCTGTCTTACAGGGGCACATCTGAAACCTGCCTGTGCCTCCAAACACTGATTCAGGCAAGACCATAATAAAATATTTGATATCACCAGTGACAAGACTTCACTCGGCAAGAAAACCTTCAGTGAAGGTGATTATTTGTATGTTTCCCACATATATCGCTTTGCTCTCCTTTAGAAGATCCATTTCCTGCCACTTAACAGGTTTGTTTATTTGTGAAGGTGATTATTTGTATGTTTTGCACGTATTTTGCTTTGCTTTCCTTTAAAAGATCAATTTCTTGCCACTTAACAGGTTTGTTTTATTGACCCAAAGGTCATTTTCTACAAATAATCATTCGACGTGATTGTAAGTCTTACATTTATCAGGAAAACTGTTCTTTTAAATTTTTTATTCTCAAATAGACGAGTGAAAGTGTTGTTCATTAGACTGTATTATCTGTATTGTTCGTCACGCTTCATTTGCCCACCAAAGTTCTACTAAAACAAACTGAATAGATTTTGTTTCCCCCACAGTAACTGAAACAATTCCTTCTTAAAATCTGCTAAACATAGCAGAAGAAAGCCCAGCACTAATTTAGCACTGGGCTCCCTAGAAACAGAAAAAGAAAAGAAATACTGTTGTCTGCTAAAAAGCTCTATCTCAAAGCCAACAGAAGATCACAAATACTGTCATTTAAGCTTCTAAGTGTCCCCATGCCTGTGAGCCTTTCCAGTGTGCCTTCCAGGGTGTGTTCCCAGGGAAAGAGGAGCCTCACCTGCGTTCTTCCCTTGCTGATCAGGCCGGAGCCCACTGCACTCCCCACGTCCAGTGACCCACGAAGGACGATGGACTGAGACGGTGCGAGGCCACGGAGCGGAGAGAGGGTCCCCAGGGGCAGCTGGATGGGGGCCAGGTGGGGGCCCAAGGGCTGAAATATGGAGAGGGGACTCGCTGACAGGAGAGCAAAGGTGTGCAGCTCCCCTTGGAAAGGGAGGAGGTGCTGCCCTGTGCAAGCACAGGCTGCTGAACCAACTCCAGCACTGCTGAAACCTGCTCGGGGACCCCACGGCCACCAGCACACGGCACAGCTAAGGAAATACACTTGGATTTACTCGTACATTTTGCCTTCCAAAGACCCCCCCCGAATGGGTCCAGAATGCTCCTTCCTTTCAGAGGGCAGCAGGAGCCCTGGGAGCCACCTCACATCCTCACCTCTGAGCAATGCATGCTCACACCCCACGTTAGCACCACCCAAAAGTGTGACCATCCTGTTGGACAGCATGGAATTCCCCATCCCAGAGGTCTCACCCTGCACAGGTTGAACCAGAAGCACTCGTGTGCCAGGGTTTTCCCTGTGGCACTCCAGGGTTTTCCCTGTGGCACAGCAGTACAACCAAGGGCTGGTGCTTCAGCAGAGCACGTGTGTTTCCAGAAACCACAGATTCCAGACTGAAATCAGAGCTAATTCACTGATGGATGGGGAGAGGAGGATGTCATCACCACAGCAATGGTAACAGAATAAATCACATTCTGGGCTTAAACTAATTATTTTCTACAGATGGCCATTAACCACACGTACAGAACAGAGGATGTTCACTGTCCTTCAGCAGAGATAAACGTGCTTCCATCAGGCTAATTAAAACTTTAGGAATAATCCACAGTTTATCTGTTATTTATAGTTCTTATCAGCTACCTGAGCACTGTCAAACTGATACTGAGAAATCTGAACTGGCAACTCAGCAGAGCACAGCAATCCATTAATGTTACACACAGAGTAATGTTCTCCCCAGGTGAAGGTGGGATCTGTGACAGGCAACACAGGGAAAAGTTTGGGCAAAACTGAGCAAAAAGGTCCAGCTATTCCCAGAGGAAGGAGAAAATTACAATTATAGATGGGTTCCATCAGCCCTGAAAGTCACTTCAGTGTCCTAAGACACAGGTGCAGCCACCCAAGCACCAAACTGTGCTCAGACCTGCAAAGCCATGGGCCAGTAACCACTGGGAATGCTCCTCCTCTGGTGTGGAAAAGGCAGTTCAAACTTTCTCCCATTTTTCTTCCATTTAGGAGGGAACAGAGTCCATTTCTCAAGGTGCTGGCCATGGATGGAGGAGAGCTGGCTGCAATCTGTGGTTTCTTACATCACCTTAACCAACTCACCCTGGGACTTGAGACTCAGCAAGCACAACTAAGCTGAAAATAGCTGAATAAGCCATTCCCCCTCAATTTAGACTGTGGGATCTCCAGGGAAAAAGACCAACTTCATAGTGTGCTTACCACAAAGAGCCTTACAGCCCAAATTAAAGGTGATTTTGTATTCAGCGTTGCCAACTCACTTGATTTACTGCCCATCACCCGGGTTTGAGTTCAGAAAGCCCTTTTGTTTCTCTTCTGCCCGGCCCTCCCCAGAGGCACAGCAAGCAGCGTCTACTCACAGCAGATTGCTTCAGTGATTGCTTCTCCTTCTTGTCTTTCTTCTCCTTCTTTTCTTTCTTCTGCTTCTTCTCTTTCTTCTCCTTCTTCTCCTTCCTGAGGCCGCCCTGTGCCAGCAGTTTCTCCCGCTCCCGGATCACCAGCTGCCTGTAGTGCTCATCACAGGGGTGCTCCCACGTGGACTGGCCCGTGGCAAAGTTGAAGTAGTACACATCACCAGTGGTGTCCTGGCTGCGTGGCAAAAACCAGCATGAAAGGATGGAAGAGCACACAGAAACACAGCTGCACAGGTCAGAACATCCTTACTGGGGGGCATGACCACCTGGAGCTCAGGGAAGAGGAGCAGGAAGCCCCTAAGAGGCCAAAAACACACTGGTGTGGGGAAGCAGCTCTCCTAGGGTGCTCATGACCTTATCAAGCTTCCCAAACAGTTTCCCTCCACCCTTCTTCTGCCACCCCAAAAAGCCCTGAGCTCCCTCATTCACAGGAAGTAAAATATTGAGGTAAAATATCCCTTCTTCTCCCCACCAGAACGCTGGGGCAGCACACAGAGAGGAAGGACAGGAAAGACCAGGAATCATAGACTGGTTTGGGTTGGAAAGGACCTTAAACATCCTCCCTCCTGCCATGGGCAGGGACACCTTCCACTTGACCAGGTTGTTCAGAACTCCATCAAACCTGGCCTTGGGCACTTCCAGGGATGGGGCAGCCACAGCTTCTCTGGGAAACCTGTGCCAGGGTCTCACCACCCTCACAGGGAGGAATTTTTCCTGATATCCAACCTAAACCTCCTCTCTGTCAGTTTGAAGCCATTCCCCTTGTCCTGTGACTGGGAACCACCCAGGACAGCTGCAGCCAGAGTCTCACCAGGGCTTCCAGTCAGGGGGTAACGGGGCCACCAGGCACTCCCTGGCCAGCCACAGCAGCTCCGACTCCTTCTCGGGGTCAATCCCGATTATCGGTGCAAAATTCTGGATTTCTAGGAAAACACAAAAGGAATCTGTGAAGACAGTCTACACCAGCCACTACAGAGGAGAGCCACCCTCCCAGCTATAGCAGGGAGCACACCGGAAAATCCCAAACAAAGCTGCTCCAAGCCACCAGCACGGTCCTGTGTGTCCACAGCAAACAAAAAGCTCATTTTCCAGCTCTGTCTTCTGCCAAATTCCATGTATTTTACCCTCTCCACCCACTTTCTCCCCAGTTTCCGCTTTCTGAACACCTGTGTGCCTGAATCCCTTCTCCCAGCTCCCAGGAGGACAGGCAGCACCCACCTTGCTCGTCAGGAACGTAGGAATCATTGTAATCTTCTTCCAGAATGAGCTGGTTCCCGATGCGCACGGCCCCTGCCAGGAGTCCCCTCTCCATGGCTCCCACACCTGGGGGCAGGAAGGGAGCAACACAAAGTCCAAACTGTCCTCAGAAATGAAGGCTCCTTGTCCCCCAGCACATGGCAGAGCCCTTCCACCTGCAGCACAACCAAATCAAAGAGCTTCCACGCACACTTCCAGGGGCTGCGGAAATAAGGAGCAGAGCTGAAGCAGCACAGTTATAATCAGATCCCCCAGGCCTTCAAGTTTCTACTGAGGAGGTGAGCATTTGCTTCAGGCATTTTTTAACCAGGCAAAAAATAAATAAGCTGAAATGAGGAAGGGAAGGAAGAGAAAGCACAGAGCTTTCCCAGAGTGCAGCTTTGAGAAAAGCCCCAGGGCTGGATCAGCGCTGCCCAGGGACAAGGCAGCTTTTCCCTACTTACCTTAGTCTCTCCCCCCTTCTCAGAGGACACTTCAGAAGCTGTAAAAGGGTCCTAATTCAAAGTGTCTGACCTGTAGCCCATTGCTTCGTTACTTAACTGTAGGCCACACCACAGCTGGGCCCTTACAACCCATCCAGCACAGGATTAGCAACTGGAATTCAATCACCTCACCCCAAACATCCCCAGTTATGGCTCTGCATGGCCACATTTGGCCAGCATGAGCATCCCACCACTGTGTGGGGGGCCAGGTGCCAGTGCCAGCACAGGCACAGAGGAGACTGTGACCCACTGCTCAAACACAAGGTCGAACCTTTCAGCCTAAAACCCCCCAAATCCTCAATGCACAAAGCATTCCTCTGCTATACTTGTGAGACCCAGGGGGTTGCAGTACCTGCCAGGGGTCTGAGCAGCAGTAACACCCCAGTGATGACAGCCCAGAGCAGGATCACCACCCACTGCCTGTACCCAGCCGTTGCTGCCCTCTTCACCTCCCTCTGTCCTCGGCCCACTCCGTATTTATAACCCTTATGTAAAATACGTCTCAGAAGCCACAACTAATCCTGGCAGTTGCCAGGCAAGGATATCCTCAGGACACGCCAAAGCAAAACAGCATCACGGGGCTCACACCGCTCCCCCTCCCAAACGTCCCCAGTTACAGCATTTGGATGTGGGCAACTCACTCAGGGCCTTCTGTTTGTGTTTTCCTGTCCCAGCTCTAACTCAGCCCCATTTTCCATCCCAGGGATTAGCGCTGGATGGCTCACTCTTCTCTTGGAGACGCTGCCTCGCTGCACCCGGGGAGAACTTTCAGTGCTTGAGGGGCATCTATAATAGATGGGGACAAGGAGGAACGGTTTTAAACTAGAAGAGGGGGGATTTAAATGAGAGATTAAGAGTGAATTCTCCCTTGTGAGGGTGGTGAGGCCCTGGCACAGGTTGGCCAGAGGAGCTGTGGCTGCCCCATCCCTGGAAGTGTCCAAGGCCAAGTTGGAGGGGGCTTGGAGCAACCTGGGATAGCGGAAAGTGCCCATAACCACGGCAGGGGCGTGACACTGAATGAGCTTCCAACCCACAAAACCGTTCCCTGGTCCTATGCAAAGCAGAATTCACAGTTAGTGCAGCCTGAGCCACGCCAGCCTGGAGCCACGGGAGAGGAGCGGCTGGCGAGGAGGAGAAACAGCTTTGATTAATAAAGCATAAACTAAAAGCAAAGCCAAAGCCCTTTTCGCCCATGTCGAGACAGCGCACACGCGACAGACGCGCAGCCGGGAGCCGGCAGACCCCGCATGCGGCGGGAAGCCGGAGCCGCTCCCCGCAGGCTCCCTGCCCCGAGTGGAGCCTCCCCTGGGGCCGGGACCCCCCGGGCCCGGTCCCCCCGTCCCCGCTCACCGTGGCCCCGGGCCCGGACCCGCTCCGGGGCCGCCGCCGTTGCCCGGAGCGCGGGAGCCGCCGCGGCCGCTGAGCCGGCCCCGCCCCCTCGGCGCCATTGGCTGACGGGAGGATGCTCGGCAGTGGATTGGCCGGCAGGGAGGCGGGACACATGACGTCACCGCGGCAGGGCCGCAGGGGGCTGCGGTTGCCATGGCGACGCGTGGGTACCACCCGCAGCGCATCCCGGCGGGACCGGCACCGGCACCGGGGAGCGGGACGGGCACGGGGACGGGGGCCGGGAGAGGGACGGCGGCAGCGGGGACGGCCGGGGCGGGTCTCCCCGGCAGCGCTTCCGCCGGCGGGCGGGCTTTCCGGGGCGGGTCCGGCCGCGCCGCCATGCCCGCCGCCGCCGCGCCGCCCGCCCGCCCCGGCGCGGCCGCCCCGCCGAGGCGCGGGGCGCTGCGGGCCCGCTGACCGCGTCCCCCCGAGGGGCTCCCCCGCGGCCATGGCGCCCGCCTGGCCCTGGCTGCTGCTGCTGCTGCTGTGGCTGGGGGTCGTGCGCGCCCTCCCGGCCCCGCCGCGCATCCGGCTGCCGCTGCGGGGCGGAGCGGCCCCGCCGTCGGGGCTCCGGCAGCGCCGGGCGCCGCTGGACGCCGAGACCGAGCGCGCCGGCAGCTTCGTGGAGATGATCGACAACCTGCGGGGCAAGTCCGGGCAGGGGTACTATGTGGAGATGACGGTGGGCAGCCCCCCGCAGAAGGTGAGGTGGGAGGAGATGGATCCCCCGCATCTCTCGCATCCCCTGCATCCCCCCTGCATTCCTCGCACCCCGGGGGGCTGCGGGTCCCTCTCTGGGGTCGCAGAGCAGAGGCTCTGCGGGTGCCACCATGGCTGCGCGGCTCTCGCCGCACAGTCCGGGCTTCCCGTCGTTCCTCATCGCTCGGGTGATGCTTTTCCTGCTGGCTTTTGGTGAAGGCTGGCCGCAGGCGCCCGCCGAAGGTCACCCCATCGCTCCCGGGCTAGCCGGGCACTCCTGGGAGAGGCAGCGGGTGCTGCGTGTGCCTCTGCGTGCGGGGCTGCATCCCTCCATCCATCCCTTCCCCCTTCCATCCCTCCCTCCCTCCTTCCATCCATCCTCTCTCCCGAGCCAAAGCTTGCTGCCACTCAGGAGCTGTCGCCATGTGTGGGCAGCGAGAGGGTGGGATGTGGCTGCACAGCCCCGCGCCCGCCTGGAGCGGGCACAGCCAGACACGAAGAAGCCACGGCCAAGCCGTGCTTGGCGCGTTCCTCCCAGCGGAGCCGCTGGCGCAGCTGCTGCCCGGGTCCGCGTGCCGCTCCCGACCTGGGGAAATGCTCCAGAAAACCTCCGGAGCTTTGTTTTCCCGGAGATCTCGTGCAGGCTGTCCCTGCACAGGAGCCGGGACAGCATGGGGAAGCAAAGGGCAGGAAAACGGGGTGGGCTGACTGGAAAGGGAGCTGGTGCATCACCAGCCTCTGCTCCTTCTCCATCTTTCTGTCAGCATCCCTCACGTCCTGGAGCTGCGCTGCCCAGCTCACGTTGTGGCACCGTGTGCCTTCCTACTGGGGACAGGATGGGTGCTGATGGCCAGGTCACTCAGCGCAGGGCTAGCAGCTCCTCCTCTCTGTTTGGGTGAGATCCTGGAGGCTCCTGCTGCCAAATCCCCCTGTGCCTGTACTGACCCCCTTGCTGCCAGCAGCAGGTCTGACTCAGGGACTGGAGCGGGCCAGCTCATCGCTCGAGGCTCCGCACTCCTCCCAGCTCGGGGCCACGTTCCCTCGTGTCTGCCACCGCCACTTTTTGGGTGCTGCCGAAACACCCAGCACCCACACAGGCTCTGAAATAAAGACTGGCTTTTACCCCACGAGCTGGCTGTGCCCTGTGTGCGTGGTGGGGGAGAGCCATGTGAGCGAGACGTGAGCCGTGGACGGGAGAATCATGTCACCACCACGAAAATCGGATCTCTGGGAGCAGCGTCGTGTTGTCCCTGTGTGCCTGGGATTTATTCTCTGCTCTGGCAGGGCGCGTTTAGGGGGAAAAAAGGGAGGAGATTATTTCTAAAATCTAGTTTTAAATGTGATTTCATCATCTCCTGCCTGCCACGTGTCGCAGCTGCCAGATAATTTCCGTGCTAACCACCTGTTCCCAGGCACTCGTGCGTTCCGGAGCCAGTTGCCCTTTTGGGCAGCATCTTCCAGCCTTGGATCGCTTCCAAATGCGAACGTGGTGCCTGTGCGTGTGTGTGTGTGCTGGAGCAAAATCCCTCCAGGCGCTGTAATGGAATTAGAGGATTCATATGAAAGAGTTTGGCTGTGCCTTCGCAGGAAATCAGGGGCATATTTGTCCCGAGGGGTGCGTGCATCCTTCCCGAAGGGTCACATACGGCAGGGAGACGGTGATCCAGCTCCTCAGCTTTCCTTTCACCTTCCTGGTGCTGACAAGGGAGTTTCTGTATCCTCTTGTGCTTTAATTTTGGTTCTGAGCTGTGCTGCGCTGCCAAGTCACCGTCAGCAGCCGATTGCTCACACACTCCATGTGCCCAGGCGTGTTGGTTTCCCTGGCTCCCCAGGACTGGCTGATTCATAAACACAGAGGGAAGAGGGGTGAGACAAGCGTCGGGAGCCAGTGTTTTGGGACAGATGGCACAGGCTTGGTCCCCAGGAGCCGCACTCAGCACTAGGACACGCGTGGCACGGAGCCAGCGCTGCTGCCGAGGTGCCCGGAGGGGCTGTCACTTCCAGGGACAGGTTTCAGACAAGCATCCCTGTCACACATGTCCTGGCCTCGCCGGTTCACGTGCTGTGTCCTGGCCTGAATGGATGGCTGGGCTGAGTCTCAAGGATCTGGGTCCTCTCCACGTGGGTCCTGTGCGTGACCCTGTCAGCAGGATGGAGCCTGTGAGAGCAAAAGCTCTTCCTCGCTTCCTTCTCTCCCTGCAGCATCAGCTCAGCAGGTCTTTCTCCAGGGAGACCTGTCTCCTCTGGGTGCCCTGGAGGTTGGAGATGAGCTGTGTGGAGCAGGTGGCCCCTAATGACCCACCACAGAACTGGGAACAGCCCTGGGAGCGGTTGCCAGGGGAAGGTGGGGCTGTGCAGCGGGCGCTGAGCTGGCACTCGCCCAGGGTGGATACTGGAGGGGCAAATGTGCCTCTCTGATCTTTACCCATGGCCTGAAACATTCCCCATGGCAAGAAGCTAGGCAGGGGAGGCCTGTCCCCCAGTGCAGGATGGCAGGGCTGGGGCACAGGGCACCCAGGACGTGGCAGCCCCTGTCAGGTGGCCGTGGAGAACGCTCAGCAGCTGCAGCCCAGCACTCCTGCGATTAGCACAAGCGCATTAACCTCCTTCTCTCCCCTCTGACTCCACAGATTAAGGGCCGAAGCCCTGGCAGTGCTGGCTGGGGTGGTGCTGTGAAGCAGCCCCCGGGGCTGGGGTGAGGGCTCAGCCCAGGCACTGCTGCCCTGCAGGGTGGGGAGCCCCGCTCCTGCTCCAGCAATCCCACCCCAGCAGTCCCACTCCGGCAATCCCGCCCTGGCAGTCCATCCCCGCTCCCCGCAAGGGCCACAGGCAGGGGTCAGCTGGGGGCAGGATCCAGCTGGCCTGCTCCCGGCCCTGCCGGTGGGATGTTTGCCAAACCTGGTAATCCCGCACAGGCAGGAATGGATCAGGAGCTGGGCTCGGCATATGGGTGGTGATTAGCGGGCGCAGCGATCCACGGGGGCCACGGACTATCGATCCTTCCCACCAGCTCTGCCAGCAAATCAGCTTTCCTGGCAAGGGGAACCTATGCACCCTGTCTTGCTGCTCCTCTTCAGACTCATGACACCTGCCAGGTGCTTCCCAAATCCTGTGGATTGTGGGGCTGAGGCCAGGCCATGCTGAGCGAGGAGCTCATGCTCTGTTTGCACGGTGCCAGACGCTGTTTGCTTTGTTGTTCAACACCCTGATGTCGCTGCCTCCTGCTCTGCCACCTTCTCCTCTCCTCTCTGTGCACAGCAAAAGAGGGTCCCGCTGCACTCATGCACCTCCCTGTCTCTCTTCTCCAGCTGAACATCCTGGTGGACACGGGGAGCAGTAACTTTGCTGTGGGAGCTGCGCCACACCCCTTCCTCCGGAGATACTACCAGCGGCAGCTGTGAGTATGTGGGGGGACACAGAGCAGAGCCACTGTCCCAGCCCCACAGTGGCACGCTGCCCCTTCTTGCTGGGGGTCTGGCCAGACCCTACCAAGTAGAAGATCCACACGACCCCTTCCAGTCTTACTCATCCCTTCGATGCCTTTGCAGGTCCAGCACCTACCGCGACCTGCGGAAAGGGGTGTATGTGCCCTACACCCAGGGCAAGTGGGAAGGGGAACTGGGCACTGACCTGGTCACCATCCCCCACGGCCCCAATGTCACTGTCAGAGCCAACATTGCTGCCATCACAGAGTCAGACAAATTCTTCATCAATGGCTCCAACTGGGAAGGGATCCTGGGGCTGGCGTACGCTGAGATTGCCCGGGTGAGTCCTGGCTGGCAGCAGCCTGGCCCTGCATGAGCAGGCTTCAGTTGCCTCTTCCCTTGGCTCTGTTTGTCCCCTGGGGCACAGCAGTCCCCCCCACAGTGAAGGGAGCTCCCCTGGGCACGGAGAGCCCCTGGAGAAGGGACAGCACCGATGCATCCCTGTCCTGCCTCTTTTCTCCTCCCGCCAGCCTGACGACAGCCTGGAGCCCTTCTTTGACTCCCTGGTGAAGCAGACTCGGGTGCCCAACATCTTCTCCCTGCAGCTGTGTGGGACGGGCTTCTCGCCCAACGAGACGGAGGCCGTGGCCTCGGTGGGAGGCAGCATGGTGAGGGCTCTGCAGGCAGGGGGAGGCTGCCAGGGGCTCCCACGGGGCTCTGGTGGCGCGTGGTGGCCTCACCTTTGTGTCTCCGCTGCAGATCATCGGCGGCATCGACCGCTCGCTGTACGTGGGGGACATCTGGTACACCCCCATCCGCAAGGAGTGGTACTATGAGGTCATCATTGTCAAGCTGGAGGTCAACGGGCAGGACCTGAACATGGACTGCAAAGAGGTGAGGGGGCACCAGGGCACCTGCCCCCCGGGCTCAGCTGGGCCATGGCGCTGGAGGCACCTGCTGCTGGTTGAGGGGCCGGGAGGGGAGCAGGGCTGGGGTCCTGCACCTGGGTCACCCCTCCTCTTCTGCCCCCAGTACAACTATGACAAGAGCATCGTGGACAGTGGGACCACCAACCTCAGGCTGCCAAAGAAGGTGTTTGAAGCTGCAGTGAAATCCATCAAAACAGCATCTTCGGTCAGTGAAACCTATCACTTCCCCATGGGCACATCCCCAGGGCTGGGGGCAGCAGAGCTGCCCCTCACCAGCCTGGCATCTCTGCTGCCTGCCCACCTTGGCTCCGCTCACCTCCCCTTTCCCTCTGGCAGACGGAGAAGTTCCCGGATGGCTTCTGGCTGGGGGAGCAGCTGGTTTGCTGGCAGGTCGGCACCACCCCCTGGCACATCTTCCCGGTCCTGTCCCTCTACCTGATGGGGGAGGCCACCAACCAGTCCTTCCGGATCACCATCCTGCCCCAGGTGAGCGCTGGCCCAGCCAGAGTGGGCTGGAGTGGCAGGACCAGCAGGACCACCCTGGGTGGGCACAGCTGCCTCCCTGCCCCCTTTCCCGACGGCACCTCTGTCCCTGCAGCAATACCTGCGCCCGGTGGAGGACGTGGCCACTTCTCAGGACGACTGCTACAAGTTTGCCATCTCCCAGTCCTCCACCGGCACCGTCATGGGCGCCGTGATCATGGAGGGCTTCTACGTGGTCTTCGACCGTGCCCGCAAGCGCATCGGCTTCGCTGTCAGCGCCTGCCACGGTGAGCACTGGGCCTGGAGGGAGGGAGAGAAGGGCAGAGGGGCCGTGGGAGTGCAGTGGCCAGAGCTGTGCCTTCCCCCCAACAGTGCACGACGAGTTCCGGACGGCCGCGGTGGACGGGCCCCACCTGCACTCCAACATGGAGGACTGCGGCTACAACATCCCGCAGACGGACGAGTCCACCCTGATGACCATCGCCTACGTCATGGCAGCCATCTGCGCCCTCTTCATGCTGCCCCTCTGCCTCATGGTGTTCCAGTGGCGATGCTTCCGCTGCCTGCGCCGGGACCACGACGACTTCGCCGACGACATATCCCTGCTGAAGTGACGGCGGAGCGCGGGGCCGCAGGTGAGGGGCCTGGTCCGGGGGCAGGACAGCAGCGTGGGGAGCTCAGACCCTCTGCCCAGGACTCGGGGACTCGGTGTGCGCCAGGGCCAGCAGCCGGGAACGGCTGTGGGAGCCCCGTGTCCGGGCTCTGTTCATCTGAGACCCACAGCAAGAGCTTGATGGAGTGACACTGATGAGCCATCCCCTGCCTGTCCCCTTCTACCCCTGTGCATCCCTTCTCTGCTCACCCCACCGGGAAGCCGCTGGCCCAGGTTCTCTGTGCAGGGAGCTGCACGCACGTGCCCTGTGGCCGTGCCTTCCCCGTGGCTCCCTGCACTGAGCTGGACTCTGGGGATCATCCCAGAGCCTCCCCAAAGAGCCAGCCTGGGGCTGCCTGGACACATCTTTCCCTCCCACCCTCCTGCTCCCCCATACATGGCTCACCCCTGTACACTGCTCACTCTGGCGTTTCCCTGCCCTCCCAAACTGTCCCCCACTGCTGCCAGCCCCAGGACTTCTGTGCCCACCCTGCCCTCCCAACACAGGCAGGAGCAGCCACTCATCCTGTCCCAGGACTGGCAGGAGCAGGCACCCACGTTCTCCCCACTCCCCATGGGATGGGCAACTCCCTGCCCTCCCTTCCAGCATCAGCAGCGGCTGCCACGGAGGAGCCGGTGCCAGAAGAGACCCAAGTTCCCGGCACCGGCTGCTCCCCAGCCCACCCACCCCTTCAAAAGCCATAGGGGAGCCTGGGCCCCCCCTGCAGCCCCCCCGGCCTCACCTCCAGCACGTCCCACGGCGTGGGGCACGGCGGCTCCTCTCCGCTCACTCCACGTGTCCAGGCCCCGGCTGGGGGACACCCTGGCAGCCTGGGGACAGGCAGCAGCTGTGGGGACTGCAGCATTTGTTCTTTTTTAAACACATGGTTGTATTTATTTCTGGTTTTTTTTTTTTTTTTTTTACAAAGCGAGTCACTGGTAGCGCAGTCGGAGCGTGTACATAGCAGGTCCCACCCGCGTGGGTGTGCAGACAACAGCCGCCTCTCACCTGTACAATATACCCATGTATCTCTCTTTTTAATTCTAGCCCTGAAAGCCACTGTTCCAAACCCAGCGTTAGGGGTCAGTCCTGTTTCGTTTTGGGGTTTTTTTTTAATCGTTTTAGCCCTCTGCTCAGTCCTTGGGCCATGACCACCACCCGTGGCACCGCAGTGATGTGCTCGGTGGGAGCGCACGATGGTGAGGGAGTCCCAGCTGGTTTGAGGAGGAGGAGCAGGAGGAAGGCAGGGCTGGAGCCCACAGGGCAGTGGCTCACAAGCCGAAAGGACACTGAGCACTTTTGTCCTCGTGGTGTTCCTGCAGCACAGGGAGGATTTTTCGGTGTGTGAGGACAACCCTCCCCTCCTCCCTGTGCTGCAGGATCACTGTCCCTTCCCCAGGGCAGACACCCGTGACCTTGCAGCAGTGGTAGTGCTGTATTCCCTTGCTTCTCTGCCTCCAACCTGGATAGGAAAGTGCTTAAACACGTGCAGGAGCGGAGCAACCAGGTCAGGTGGGGACAGGCTGAGGGACCGCAGCAATCACCAAGTGTAAAGCTTGTTAACTAAATCCTGCAGATAAACATTTCTTTGGAAAAGCAGCGAGGGAGCCAGGAAACACATGCAGTGTAGGAGGAAGCCAGCCCTCGCATGGGCACCGCCACAACAGCCCCCACACTGTCCCACCTCACTCCCAGTGCGCTCACACAGCACCCGCCCCCACCCCCATCCCTGCTCCAAAACTGCATCCAGCCGCTCCATGCGAGAGGGCAACGTTCTCTCCCCCACCCTCGTGCCTGCCCAGGACCCCAGAGACTCTGTTGTGGACCACTGCCTTAAAACACGCTGCCAGCGTGTGCGTGCGCGGAGAAGGATCTGCGGCCGAGCTCAGGTGCTGCACCAGGGGGGCTTCCCTGCCCACCCCGAGGCAGAGGGGCCTCCAGCAGCACCGAATTCCTGCTGCAGACCGCTAAGGAGGGGGGGGGGAATTTTTAGAGAGTCAGTGCAAGATTTTCAGTGGTGCTGAGCACCTCGTAATCCCACCGAAATCCATGGAGAAAGGGTTGGTGCCTCAGCCCGTGCTTTAGGAGAAAGTACAGGACAGGGGAAAGCAGGAATTGTGACAGGTTGGTTTATCCTGAGCTGCAGCGCAGCCGTGTCCATCTGCTCCCTCCCCAGGGCCCGGTGACAGCAGGGGATGGGACAGGATGGGACCAGGGGCTGTCGCTGGAGGCTCCAGTACTCTGTAACCCAGTGTCTATGTAAGAACAATGAATGTTAACACGGTAAATTATTATGACATTAAAAAAAGACCACCAAAAAAAAACAATCGTCTTTATCTGCAACCTTTTCATTGCCAAGAGGGGGGGAAAAAACAGGTGATGACCGGCAGGGGACCAGGACACTGAGGAATGGGGTGGTGAGGCATCCAGTCATGGGGTATGGCCCTGGAAAAGGAGCTGCTGGGATCCAAGTGGGAAAAGGTGGCTGCAGGAGCCAGTGTGCCTCCAAGCAGGTGACACTAACCCTCGTTTGGAAGAAGCCAGTGAGGCTGCGGACTTAAGGAATGAGGAGCAGCAGCAAATCACTGCATAATATACACACTTTATTTATGAATTTGTATGTATACAGACTTTCTATACACACATTACCTATATAATAAAAATGTACATGTGTATACATGATCGTATAAATATAGAACTGTAGAAATCTTAGAACTGATCCTGTCTATTCACAGCAACTCCTCCTGTGGGCCCACGTTGTTCCAGCAGCCGTCATTTGAGGCTTGGGCAAAAGGGGCAAGTGTCATTCGTGTTGGTTTGTGCCCAGAATTTGATGCACTGGAAAAGAGAGAGTTAGTCAAGAGCTACTGGCACAACCCAGAGGTGTCATTGTCCCCAGCAGTGCTGCCAGGACACTCATTTTCAGTGTCCTTTGCTCCTCACAGCCTCCCTCAGTAGGTAACCATGAGAAGGGAGCTCTCCTCCTCCTCTTCCCAAGAGCTCCTGTCCAGCCCCCCCGGCCCAGACACCTGGGCAGCAGTGGCAGCTCTCTCCCCTCACCCTCTGTTCTAGATCCTTCCAGGCTGTCCTGCTCCAGGGTCTAACCCTCACAGCAAAGAGAACAGGCTCAGGGACAGGAACAAGGGCAGCCTGTTCTTAAAGCCACCACCCAGTGGCCACACTTAAGATTACGGAAAGGATGGGATGACAGGATGCAAGGAATTGTTTATTGATCGTCCCCTTCTGGCAAGGTGCCAGTACCACAGGGACTCGGGAAGGGAATCAGCACTTGGAAGGATGAGGAGGAAGCCCCGAGCAGCAGGGAACACTCACCTCCTTGTGCAGCACATGCGAGCAGGCCATGGGGTGAAGGTCACCGGGCTGCACGAGCTTCTGGCACATCAGACACAGCTTACAGGCTGATGGGGTCTGGGACAGGCAGTGAGGGAACAGAAAGAAGCAGGGAAGTCAGACACCCAGCTCTGATCACATATTCAGCTGCAGCCTGAAGCCACAGGCTGCCCAGTCCCTCCCTCTGCCACCACACGCTGTGAGAGCCACTGACACATCTCGTCACCATTCCCCTCTTCCCCAACGTGAAGCACAATGGATCTGTGCCTCTAATCCTGTCCTCACCCCACCAGCCTGAGTAGCTGTGTGAGGAGAGAGAGCTCCCAGCTCCATGGGCTCATCCCTTCAGCCACCTCCCAGCCAGGCTCCCTCCCTCTCCTTTGTACCAGGGAATCCAAACAGCCTTACGTGTGACGCCGTTCCAGGGTAGGCGACCTGGGCCGGGGGCAGGAACACGGGAGTGCTGATCTGAGGCAGCGGAGCAGAGAACATGGGGGCCCTGATCCGGCTGAGGGGCTGCAGCAGGACAAAGGAGGCACAATCACAACAGCCCGGGAGGAAAGGGCAGACGAGTCACCCCGAGCCACCCCAGGGAAAACCTCTCCCTGGTTACGCCGCCGTCAGCAGAAAGGGGAGCCCGGGGGACAGCCCTGACGCACAGCCCGAGCTCTGTGGGGATCCAGGGAGCAGGCGCAGCTCTCCCTGCTCCCCAGGGCCCCCCTTCCAGCAGCCCCCACGCTGTCCCACCTGCGCCCCGGCCGCTGCCTGCTCCTGCTGCTCCGCCAGCTTGGCCGCTACCAGCTGGTTCAGCTGCTCCATGGTCAGCCCGGCCATGGTCTTCCGAGCTGTCTTGATCTGCTGCAGGATGTTGGTGAGCTGGGCCCTGTGTGGAAAGCAGCCTGCTAAGAGCTCCCAGTCCCCACAGACAGGGACCCTCCGCCAGCCCTGCCCCAGGGGAAGCCGTGTCGCTGCAGAGGAGCGCGTGCTCTAAATGTCTACCTTCCCAAGTGAGGTGAATCACAATGCTGAGGAGTTTCTCTCCCCAGAATGCTGGGAAAAGAGCAGGGAACGCCCAGGGAAAGGAGGGGGCCTCCTGGCTGTGCCCAAGCATCCCCGCTGACCTTCAAAGCTCCAGGAGGTTCTCATTCCCAGCACTGTGGCAAATCTGATGGAGACCACCAGCCTTTGCTCCACACCTTCAGCCTTCCTTCCCTTCACCCAGATCCCACACACGCCAGGAGGAGCCCTCCTTCCCCCGATGCCAGCTCCCATCTCTCACACACAAGCCCTCGCTCTCCGGAAAAACAAGGCCAGACACTTACTTGTTGCACTGTGGAAACCGAGTCAACAACTTCTCCAGCAGCTTTTCCAGCTTGTCGGCCGGCTGGGGCCTGTGGAACTCGGGAGCGACGTTCACCCCGCCCAGGCCGGGCGGAGGAGGGATGGAGGCGGCGGGAGGCATGTGAGGGCTGTGCGTGCCGACGAGCGATGCCACCACGGGGCTGTTCCTCCCCTGGGAGGCAGGCAGGGGTGGGGAGGGCTGGTTGGGCCTGGAGATGGCGGGGTTCAGCAGAGGGAAGGAGAGCGCCCGAGGATCGGCGCTCGGCATGACCATGGGAACGGGGACGGGTCCGATGGGAAAGGGGAGCCGGGGAGTAAGGGATGGGTTGGGCTGGAATGCCGTCAGCATGAAATCTGTCTGAGGAAGAAAAACAGGCGAAGAAGGAAAGGCTGGTTAGAGCAAGCCCACCTGGATGCAGAGCCGAGTGCCCTCCTCCCCATTCAGACAGAT